CAGTGCAGCATGTTTCTGTTATATCTGAGTTAAATAAAATCTCTATGTATTACATAAACATTTCAATAACAGTGGAACTGCTATGATTCACTAGATGAGAGTGCCTGTCTAGACTTGTGCAGTCCTGCCTAGACTTTTTAAGCTGTCAGTATTGGTAATGGTAAAGGAGTACTTGTGTGAGGATTGTGTTGATTAGGCCATGTTAGTCTTCTTTTTGAGAAGTAGATGCTAGTGCAGCATTATCGTGAATGGATATACCATGAGGTTGTAAGTCAAAAAGTCTTAAATCGAGTTCATCATAACATGGGACATACAGAGTTGAATTCCTGGAGCTCAAGGTTCAAACAAATTTTTCTATATTTTAACTCCTTTTATGCTATAATTTTATTGTTTTTATTATAAAAATCACTCAAATAACAGTGTTAGATATTTCAAGTTAAAAATATTAAAAATAAATTATTTAATTAGTATTTTACCATGGATTGTTAAAAAAGTTATTTTAGCCACCTGAGAATAACAACATGGAATAAGACTGAAATTTGGTTTTGAGTCAAATGTCCCAAATTTCAGAGCATAAGTCATCATACAAAGACAATGTAACTCTGAAAATTCTCAAGTATTGCAGAAGCTTAATTTAACAGATGTAAATAGGCAGACATCTTGAAATAGCAATCACTGTGGCTATATGCCTCAAATTTGTTTCTGGTGGACAGTTAGAACCTTTGTTCAGGCTTTCATCACTCACAGCTCATCCAGCTGTTGCTCCACTGCCATTAATAAGAAAATTGCCCTCTTCCCTATTAGCTCTGTGCTACAGCAACCTTGCTTTGCAGCGTGATAGCAGCACAAGTCAGTTGATAGACCACCACAAACACAAAATGCACAAGTACATATAGAATTAGAACCTCATTTATGAGACATTGCCCAGTAGAATTGACAGATGGACTGGCAGGACTCCCCTTAAACAAACCACCTGTTAATGTGAAAATTGGCCCATGATTTAGAAGCTGGATACAAGGTTATGTTAATACACATCAATCATGCACCTTGAAGGGTAATAGAAATAAACTATTAGCTCTACTGATGAAGCATAATACTATGTGTCTTATTCATTATAAACAATAGTACTGGGGTTAGTAGTGGGTTAAAGTGATATGTCTACTTCACATGACATTATTATGTTGTTTCACACATTCCTATTCGTATATTAGCCAATTAAAACTGAGTCAAAATGACCGGTGTTGTCATTTTGGTCATTAAAAATGAGAACATTAATTCTTAATAAATTTGCACATTTAAACATCTGTTCTATTAAAAATAAAATAAAACAAAGTATGAGACAGTTGAGAAGCAGTGGTTCAAAGAGGAAGAAAAAAAATTGCCAGGTACTTCATTTCTGCCATAAATATTCCCAATAAAGGTACTGTAGAAGATTGTTATGAGATGTCTACTATTGTATCTTGATTAGAAACGTTTTTGGTTTCCTTTGTCTCAGTGTCTGCTGTGGTAAGTTTGTAAGTGCTCCTATGAAATATAAACAGCTGCAACTTGTCATTGTCCCATTTAAATTCACTGCATAGTGAAAATAACAGATCAGATAATTTGAATGCCCTTAATGCTTTGTATTTTAATACATCTAGCATGGTAGGGGCACATAATTTTCCTGCATTAGGTGTATTTCCTCAAAGCAAAACTGCCGTAGGTTGTACAATTAACTGGGGACTATATAAATTCTGGTTTTATTATGATTTATCAGAAATCTCACAAGATTTACGTTGTTTACACCCTCTGTCTTCTTTCTGCAACCTTTGTCCATAAAGTTCCAAGACTAATTTAATATCTCGGCTTAGGTAAATGTGTTCTAAATACTGGACGTTCTATGACTCACCTGTGTTATTGACGTTAGTTTGGTCAACCCCCACTATGGCATGGCCTGGCGGAAAGACCTGTGTCAATTGTCAGTTGAAGATTTGTACTGTCAGAAGAATGAATGTTCAATTTGACCAGTGAGTTAATAATAAATTTTGTGTGAAGCTGGGCAAGACAGCCACAGAGATATTGCAGCTTCTACATGATGCCTACGGCAGTGAAGTATTATCTCGGGCATGAGTGTTTGAGTGGCACAGTCAATTCGTGTCAGACAGGGTCTCAGTGGAGGATGACACGAGACCAGGCTGGCCTTCGAGTTCCCAAAATGAAGACATGGTTCGTATCAAAGACATGGTACAGGAGACCGTACTGTTACAATGCACATGTTAGCTGATGCCTTGAATGTCAAAAGTGACTTGCCACCAAATTTTCCTAGAGGACTTGGGTAAACAAAATTAATTACTAGAGTGTTATAGGATTTCTGAGATTTCATCCAACCTTTAACTGTAGATTCTAAAGGGTTCTGGTGATGGTGTAAATGCAGAATTACTGGGCTTTTGGACTTTGTCCACCATCCAGGATTCTAAAAACTAGAGAACACAAGTTTTCAGAAACTTGATCTGTTTCCATCCCCAAGTGAGGGGGAGACACCTACTCTATGGGGTCCCTTGGAAAGAGCAAACCTCAATCACTGGACAACCCATGTCACTGTAACTACAGCTATATAAATGCCTGAGACCACGTGTTGTTGTATGCAATACAATTGTGATAAAACATGCACAAAGCTGAACCTAATATAGAACTGGCGGTGAAAATCTTTTGCAGCAAACCTAGCTAAGAAATGAAGTCCACGAAAACCATTGCATAGGATTAAATGCAGAATTTATTAAACATTTTTGTGTCTACTGCTAGCACCATTTGTGGAGTAAAAACGGAACACTCAAGACTAAAATCTTATAGAAACCTGTCACATTATACTCATTATTGTGAATTGGTAATCTCATTGCTGATAAGGCAGATCCAGATGGGAGAAATGCCCCAAATGAGTTGTCTGATTGGATTAGTTAAGCAAGCCATGTGGGCTGATGCCTTGTATTTCTTATACCTGCTGTTACTTTCAATTTCCAAAATCCTTGCTTCATCCTAGCTTACCTAGTGACTCTCTTCATATGCATGTCAGGATAATTTGGATTTTTCTAGATGACCTTCTTTGAGATCATGCCTATGTTTATGGAGCTGCACAGCTAAAGGGCTGCTGTTTTACCAGTGTAGCTTCTGTCACATTCACAGGAAATGCTATAGACACACTATGCCATATGTTGCAGGTCTTCTGGTCTGGTTTTCATGAATGAACTCCTAAGAGTGTGTTTAGTTTTATAAATTGTACTATTGTTATATCGAGTCCCTATACGTTTGAACTTCTCTGGAAGACCCTTCACATTTAGAATATACACAGACCCCAGAAGCTTTTCCTCATTATTCAGAAGACTGGTACTTTGAATTAATGACTGAGTCAAAGAATAACTGTTGAGCTGAAAATCACTCCTCAGGCTACTAATTTCATTAAACAGATCCTGCTGTTCTTGGCATGTGGTGGAAGCTATAGTGTGAGACTCTGAATCAAGCTTCTTTTCACATGCAACAGATGATTAGATTTGAAATTGAGATATTGGCCAGAGTGGGCGGGTTTCCTGTAGACCTTTGTGGCCAGTGTCATCTCTTTCCTGTTGACCAAAACATTCAGAAAAGGAAGCACACTGTTTGAATCTACTTCTGAAATGAACTGGATGGAAGGCCTTAAACTGTTGTGGTGGCTGGGAAAATTCTGTAACTGCTCTGGACTATGTGGCCAGACTACAAATGTGTTATCAACATACCAAGCTACAGTGATGGTTTGTGCTGTGCCAAGTCAGGAGTCAGTTTCTCAAAATGGGATAATTCAGAGCTTCCCATAGCCATGCCACCTTTCTGTTGGAAGAATTTATTATCCACCTGAAAATATGTGGTTCACAAACTTTCAGCAGCTCCATGGTGGCTTCGACCTGCAAGACAGATCATTTTGCCAATGTGTCATTGTTACGGAGTTTATTTCTATTGTCTTGTAGGTCTTTGTCAGCTGGTACACTAGTGAAAAGACTAACAACATCAAAACTAACAAGGGCATCTAGGCATTGTTTATTGACTTCAACAACCATACCAAGTGGGCCAAATTCTTAATGAAGGATTCCGATTTTCTAGCAAGAAGACTCAGTATCTTATGGAGAAAATCGGCCAGGGCATAGCATAGGGAACCAATAGAACACATTATAGGCCTCAGAGGAATGTCTGATTTATGAATCTTCGGAAGAGTATACAGATATGGAGGTTTGCTGTGGTATGGAATCAACTTATAAGTTAGATCTGCAGGAAGAGCAGTTTTGTTTTTAGAAAGGAGTTTCTGTAATTTCCTCTCAACCTTAGCTGTGGGATCTTTGGGCAAAAGTTCATAAACCCTGAACTCTAGCAAAGTGTTCAACTTCTCCTTCTATTTGGATTCATCCAACACCACTGTGCAATTGCCTTGTCAGCCTGAAGAATCCTGCTATCTTTATTGAGCCTCAAAGATTTCGTGGCATTCAACTCCTTTTTAGCCCTATTAAGCATGGAAGACTTAGATTTCACTAACATGGGCCTGATCTGTTCTGTAGCTTTTACAATACTGGATGAGAGACAAAGTCCAAAATCCCAGTAATTCTGAGCCTCTCAATGTAATTGCTCTGATATGCAGATTGCTAAAATATATTTTAGGAATTATCTGTGGTTATTCCCTAGAAATGATTACAGAGTAACAAATTATGGAAGTCACTTTTGATCAAGTACAGACATGGCCAATAAAATGTTATTAAGAATTTAAAATCCCACTTCAGTAGATATATGTAACACACAATAAATTATTTCGTTGAACAAACTTACTGTCATCTGTGAGCCAATTGTCTAGAAGATATGGGAGCTTCAACATCCCACAACCCTATGTGCCTTCATGGCCTGTTACAGGGATAGCTTTATCTTATACAGATTTGCTTAGTGGAAAAAAAATGGCTACATGGCTGTAAAATTGGGCATGTAATAATGAATGCCCATTTTGCCCGCAGCATGCCGATATGAGAAGGGGTCATGGAGTGAGTGCTCATCCCAAAACCAAATGACAAGGAGTGACAGCTTAAAGGCTAACAGCGACCCCTCATGTGAACAGAGCCGACAGATCACTAAGAAGTGTAAAAATAAGGGAGCTAAGAGCAGCAAAGGTAATATCCACCCAGTACCCTTGGGAGATAGCTATACATAGGCCTCAGGTGCCACCTATAAAAGTCTTACTAAAAGTGAAAAAGGGAAGTTGCATGTTCCTAAAATATTGTGCTGTTTTCTTGTCCTTAAGTTTGCAAGATTGAAGCATGACTGATGCATGCACCATCAGGCCTGAATGTTTCCCTTCTACGTTTTTAGTGGTAAGTACAAATTATGTTTGTTCAGATTAAGCCAAAGGATGGACAACTATTGATACATGCATTACATGTGGAATATTGCAGTTACAGTGAAATATTCTAAAGCAGGAAGCCATCAACATAAATTTTGCCGTGACACTACAGATTTGAAATAAGGAGTGGGAAAAACTCTTCACACCATTTTCATCAATGTTGTCACTGCCGTGATTATAGTTATGCCAAAAATCTGTTACTATCTGTCCCTTAAATTGGGAAGGTCTAATTTCTGTATCACATTGCTTAGCATATTGTATACTTATAATCAGTAGCATTTATGGAATGTAGCTGTTCCAGTTTTATTCCGAGATGGTTTCCATATTCTGACATATATTATATAAATTATTTAATTACTCATTGTCTTTAATCAGCAGAATATAGTAAGCATTTCCTTTCTTAAAATTAATTTTTACTGCCTCTACATTCGTCTATGTAGAATTCCCAAAACATTCTGTGTAGAATGTACATTCTTCTCTATATACTATACAGAGTTCTCTTTCTACTGCTTTTTTCTTGAATCTTCATCCTCTGCAACAGATTTTTATTTTTTTAAGTTTAAAGAAAGTGTTTCTTTCATGTAGCACTATGAATTTGGAAGTAAAAATTTGAAAATTAAAATCGGTATAAATATTTTTTGAAAACTGCATAAAATTTAATTTACTCTCTTTCTCACCTTCGCTCATTTATAAGAATCACGTCTGCAAATAGCAACAAATTCATTATGGAAATATCTGTGCATCCACATATTCTGTGTGACAAACATGCATCCAGTTATTTCATTATGACAATAATCACAGAGGAACATATGTCAAAAAATTCTCTGTAGGATTTGATGTTCTCACAGCAGTGGTTACAAAGAGTTATACCTTAGGGGATTCAGTCAGTTGACTTTCAATGGACTACAGTGCATTGCATTATATCCCAGGAAATAGAACTCTTCAGGAAATTCTTCATTACATAATTTCCATCATTCTCCACTTTGTCCATATCTCTTGGGTCAGAATATTTAAGGTAGCACTTTCTGTTCAGATTTTTGTAGTGTTCTTTCTTCCCTCAGTGTCTTGTATCCACATAAGAGGCTCACTCTTCTTTGGAACTAACTTCTTGTTTTGTTTTTCATTTTGCAGCAATCTGATTTCCTGTGTAACAGATTTTTACTGGTCTAACATTATTAATTCTTCCTCTAGCATATCGCTTTCTTCAGTTTTACAAAGATAAGAATGCTGCATCTCACCAAATAGGCTTCTCAGCAAATAGCCTCTCCTCATCAGACCATAAGCCACATAAGCTATCTTCAAAATTTCTTGCTGCTCAAAACATGAGCATATGCACTAGGATTTCATCACATGGAAAATCTTGGCTCTTGTTCCTGTATCTCTCTTTGATATTGGTGATGATTACATCAATACAACTTTACAGATTCTCATGCAACAGATATGTCTCAGTTGTGAATTTCCAGCTGTTGTAATTGTTCATCCCATCCGACATTTCCCTGAATAAAAATTAAGTATAACCCAGCATAAAGTTCCAGAGTGCTGTCATGTCAATCATTTTTCTTGTATACACTTATGACATAAAAAGATAACTCAGTATATGGCTCAACATGCATAAACAATCTATTATTCAGGGCAGTGTTCACTGACTTTTATTTCACATCACACCATAAGTTCATGTGCAGTACTTCAATATCTGAGCAAAATATGGGGAAAAATTCAAAGAAAGCAGTTATCTGAACCCTCAACATCCTCATTTTTGCATTCTGGGCCCACAACCTCTTGTGGATGTGCTATCAGAAATGGCAGTTCAGCAGATTATAATATTGACTTTAATAAATAGAAGCAAACAAAATCTGAACATTCCTGGAAACAGAGAACATAGGTTACCAGCATTAGCCAACAGACTGCAGATAATCAGGAGATTACATCATCCAGCTCATAGCCAGACATGTTATCCTATGTTACTAATGTTATTTATATCCATATATGGGAATCCACTTGAAGTCAAATGGAGATTCTCAATATCATATTATAGTTAAATCTGAATATGTAAATTGAAGTTACAATGTCTGCGTTTTCCTTCTTCTCAGGTGGACAACGCAACAGAGAGTAATCCCAGATGAGTAAGGGTCCAGAACTGTATCAACATTGTTCTAGCTTATTGAAAGAGTAAACATTTCATCATACTTCATTCGGGTCCTGAGTTTCCAGTTTTCACCAGCAAGCAATCAGCGCCATGAACAACATCATGAAGTCAGAAGAGTATACTTCTGACACTAAGAAGAAGGAAAGTCCAGGAACATTAGGAATCTGATTTGTTCACCACATGTTTAATATAAAACCATTACATATAGTCACTAGGACTTCCAAAAAATATTTCTATGTTCATCACCTTTATATATTCTTCTCCAACTGTTGAAAATGCATATGTGGAATAGGACCCAGAAAATGGACTAACTTACTTGCTAGTACCATGAGTATTGCCAGTGTTCTGGAACTATCAGCAGTGATCAGCTCATTTGACTTCAACCTTGCAGCAAATTACACAGGGGTTGTTGTGTATAGATTGGTCTAGAGAAGTAATTTTGGATGTTTACAACATTGTGTGCATTTATCTTATTATATTAATTATTCACAAATGAATAAAGTGTTTCTTAAATAATTCCAAAGAATCCTACTAGTTAAAATTCAGTAAAACTTCTCAATCCCAAGTTTTAATTTTCCATATTTTTAAATGTTGTAAATGTTTGTGTGTATCCCTGAGACCTCTAACAATTTTAAAAAGAGTGCAAAAATAAATCCTAAAAAAGAGCATCCATATTTTATAGTTAAATCACGTTTTCCTCACTGAGATTCATGTAATAATATGCCTGGTAGAATATCCTATCTAGAAATCTATACTTAGCACAACAACTTGTGCTGCAGCATTGTCCTTGATTATTACACTAACACAGTTGGGCCAGAAAAATGAATCTGGTGTTTTAACATTTAATTCTAAATGCAGAAAAAAGAGAACATTTTAAAATTTTATTATATTGTAAGACCATCATACTAAAATGTCTCAGTTTTTGAACTTCTGGTGTGCTGTAGCACATGTAACACTGTAAAATGTATTAGTATCATAATCATATAGAAGGGGGTTAAATATGGGGTACAAAATGTTTTGATGGATTCAAATTGTAATTGTAACAAAAATTCAGTAAAATAAAGATGAAATTTTAAAGCTAGGTATAGGACTTATTTTTGTCATCTTCAGTGATCACCATCACCACCACCACCAACACCACCACCACCACCACCACCATCACCATCATCACCGCCACAACCACCACAACCATCATCCTTCTTATTAAGTAACTGCATGGAATATATTTATTCCAGTGAAGTCAGTAGTCAGTTAATCAAGAAATTATTTCTTGTTTTGGAAACTGCAGGCTCACCTTAATGCCAGTGAACCCTATTCTAAACCCGTCAAACCCAAACTTCACCCAGACATAATATTTTCATGTGACCCATTATAACATCATCCTCCCATTTATGCCTAGGTCTCCTCTAAAATTGTCTTTACCCGTCATGGTTTTCAGTTAAAATTTTGAATGTCATACATACAGCCACCTTGTATCCTCAAGTATAACCCAGGTACATTTTTAGCAAAAATACATCATTTAAGACAATTTTTAAGCAGCGCTGTAGCTGTGAAAGGATAGCAGAGGTTATACTGTATAAAAAGGTAAAACTTTGGTTGGGGAGTCTTACCCAATTTTTAAGAGAAAATTCCACACCAATGCGATGTTACAATGGCATGAGAAAAAGTATTTGATTACCTTGAACTTCCTAGAAATTTTATTTCAGTTATATTTTTGTGATGTATACAAAAATGAAAAATAATTGTAACAATACTATATTTTCACTATATTTGTGAGAGAGAGATGTAGGAAATATAGTAGAAGGGTGGGCAGTAGTGAGGAATCTTGGGAAAACATACTTTCCTTCCACTACACATTGAGTATTTGTCATTACATAGAACACAGAACACAATTCATCAAACAATTCTTTTATTGTTGCATATGTATTCATTACTGCAGAACTAGGAGGAGGCTATTGCCTAGCAATAGCCAAGAAATGTGTTTGACAAGTCATTGCAAAGCAGCATTAAGGGGTGCACACACAACAATGCCATCTCATAGGTCTCTTTTTCAAAATAATGAAATTACATTGAAAATTGGCAATGATATTAACTTGCAACAAAGAATGAAATGTTGTCATTTTATTAATTTATAATCACAATCAAGTTTGTCATTTGAACTTACAGGCCCTGTGTATATGTCCTTAAATTCATCTGATGCACATCACAATAACTGTGGCCAAGTAATTTATGATTTAGATTTTTCTTCCATGGTGATATACATTAATATGAGGGCAGACTGAATTTAGAGGTACAGCACCAAATTACATCAACATATTTATTACAAAATTAATCTTTAATAAAGTCAAGAAACACTATATACTAATGTTTATAGTTCTCATTACCATTCAGACATTTATCCCATTGTTTTATAAGTTTAAATATTCCTTCATGGTAGGGTTCCTTTCCAATGGATGTAAAGTATTGCACAAGTGTCTTTTGCAATGAGTTTTGGTCCGCAAATCTTTTTCTTAATGAAAAGTCCTTAAATGGCTGAAAGAGGTAGAAATCTCCATCAGGACTATGTGGTGGATGCTGCAGAACTTCCCACTTCCTCTTTTCAACCAGGACGCTGTCTGGGCTGGAGTGTGGGTCATGCTCCATTGTGCAGAAGCCTCACTCCAGTGGTTAATCATCCTGGTCTCTTTTGCTTAATGACTTCACGCAATTTTTTTTAGAGTTTTGCAGTATTTGTTGCTGTTGATTTTGTTATTGGTGGGATAAATTCAAACAGCAGGAGGCCTTCTCAATCCCAGAGCACTGCTGCGAATGTTGTTTTTTTTTTTGCAGATGGCTCAATTTTGATTTTTTTTTTGTAGTGGGTAAATGAGGATGTTTCCAAGTCATGAAGTTTCTTTTTGACTCTGGGGTGAACTCGTAAACCCATGTTTCATCTCCAGTAATGATGTTTTTCATGAACAGTTCTTGTTCATCTTGCATTGTATGTATGAAGGGGTAGGCCTGCTCGGCCCTTGCACTTAGACCTCAGTGGTCCATTGTGCTTCCCCTTTTTTTAATTATTCCCTCAGCAACCCCACGCTTTGGATGAAGCGCAGGATTTTGGACGTGGCGGCATCGAAATAGTCACTTGTTTCCATAAAGTACCGACCCAAGTGACGTCTTAAAGAGCTAAAGCCTCACATTCACACAGGACGTGTGTGGCTGTTTCATTTTCAATCTGACACCTCTCACAAGTGGGACTATCACTTAGTCCCAGTTTGAACAGGTGTCCTTTGAGGTGACAGTGTCCTGTAAGTAGTCCTACCACCCATTGTAGCTGGTTCCTGTTGAGCTTCAACAGTTCCTTCGCTCTTTTATCAGAAGGTCCTCGTATGAGTCCCTTAGCTTGCCTGAGTCCAGTTAAGGATTCCCAGTATTTCTTATGTTTTATGTTAGTCCAGTCCCTGATTGCCTGTTTGGCAACTTCTAGAGAGATGCCACAGGCTGGTTCAGGTCCTATGAACGGATGTTCAGCTCCAATTTTAGCTAATTGGTCTGCTGCTTCATTTCCAGCAATACCCTCATGCCCCGGCACCCATATCAGTTGTACCCTGTTATGTTTGGCCAGTTCCATGAGGGTTTGGTGGCAATCCAAGACCAATTTTGAATTGATCTTGTGTTTGTCAATGTTTTGAGTGCTGCTTGGCTGTCAGATAGAATGTAGATGTTCCTATTTCTATAGTTCCTATCTAAATTCTCCATAATACATGCTTTAATGGCATATACTTCTGCCTGGAATACTGTCGTGTACCACCCAAGGCTGAAACTAAGTTTCCGCCTCGTACCATGGCAGTACACACCAGCTCCAGTGCCTCTATGTGTCTTGGAACCATCTGTATACCAGATCAGTCCCCCTTTTCTGTCAGGCTGAAACCCATCTTCCCATTCACTCCTTTCAGGAAATCTGACTGTGAAGGGTTTTTCATATACGTGTCTCAGTATCATTTTGTCAGACCCCATTTGTAATATGGCTTCTGTTTTCATGTCCCAAGTCATGTCTGCATGGCCGAAACCATCAGATCTAGGTTTCCATTGTCCACAGCACTGTAGACGGTAAATTCCTGCCCTGGCCTCTGCATCCAACTGCATATGCAGTGGGGGGAGTCCAAGGAGTATCTCCAGTGCAGCTGTTGGAGATGTTCGAAATGCTCCTGTAATACCTAAGCAAGCCAACCTTTGCAATTTGCCAAGTTCTGTCTTGCTTGTCTTGAATTTAACTCTGGGCCACCATACTGTGACACCATACGTAATTATAGGTCTCACAACCACAGTATATAGCCAACATACAACCTGTGGCTGCAGTCCCCAAGTTTTACCAAACTTGCCCTGCATGTCCAAAAAGCCTTATAGGCTTTGTTAATGACTTTGTCCAGCTGCTTTTTCCATGTCAGTCCCTTGTCTAATATTAGACCAAGGTACTTGACATCGCTGGAGAGCTGGATTGTATTATTGAAGAGAATCGGTTCCTTAAGACCCTTTACATTTCTCTTCCTAGTAAACGGTATGATTACCGTCTTGTTGGGATTGATGGAGAGACCTGTTCTTTCACACCATCGTTGGACCATGTATAGAGCTGACTGAAGACGCTCTGATACGGTCGAAAGGAATTTTCCATTTATGAGGATTGCTATGTCATCAGAATATCCTACTGTATAATACCACTGTATAGTGCCCACAGGAGATCGTCGACGACCAGGCTCCACAGCAGAGGTGAAAGTACGCCCCCCTGTGGACATCTCCTAGACGCGGACACCCCCAGGGTTTCTCCCGATAATGTAGCAGCTATGATTCTGCTTTCCAGCATAGCATTGATCCATCTGCATATTGCAGGCTCTATGCCATGCCTTCCAGCAGCCTGTTTGATTATATCAAATGCTATCAAAGGCTCCCTCTATATCAAGGAATGCTCCTAAGGCAATATCCTTGTGTTCAATTGCACTTTCTATGCGTGTTACCACATTGTGTAGTGCACTTTCGGTAGATTTACCTGTTTGGTAGGCATGTTGGTTTTGGTGTAGAGGACATGTCCTCAGTACCCCGTCCCTAACATGCCTATCCACGACAGGCTGATAGGGCAATAAGCCTTAGCCTCGGTATAATCAAGTTTCCCGGGCTTTGGAATAAACGTCACCTTAACCTGCCTCCAGACTGTGGGAATAAAACCATATGCCAAGCAGGCTCTATATATGAGACATAGGTGTGGAACTAAAAGTTCTGCCCCATGTTGCAAAAGTGCCAGTACAATTCCATCCGTTTTTGTTCATCTTAGTAACATTGAAGATTTTCAAGGGAAGCAGCCATTCTTTTACTTTTGTGCTCCTTGGTGCGCATTTTCAAAACCCAGTTAGTAGGCACTTTGCAGAAATTTAAATATGAGATGATTTCATGAAGAGTGCTTTTTGCAATACCTGTCACTTCAGCAATTTCATGAACTTTGACGTTTTGATCTTCCCTTATCAAACCTCAATGACACAGTTTTCATTAGTGTGCAAAGTCGTTGGTCTGAATCTGTGGATCATTCAGTGCCATTCAGCCATCTTTGTTTTTGTTGTACCACACAGATGATTTGTTTTGGCTGAAAATGTTCTGGCCATAAACATATTTTCCTTTTCAAGACTTTTATGTGTTTTGAAATGGGGTATCCTCCTTTTCAGTGGGAGACAATTTTTTACTGAACTATGAATTGAATTATTTAAGAAAGTGATATTTTTTTCTATTTTTAAACAAAAGCAATTAAATTTTCAGTTTAATTACACTCCTGTTCTCATTGGTTAAGGATTTTAAATTTGAGTAACAAGAGAACACCAGAAAGTGATGCATTACAGGGATATAAAAATAAGGTGGAAAAATCACTGGAAGGAGAAGCACGTTACAATTTTACCAGAAGCTAGTAAAAGAAAACCATTGCTTCCAAAAGTGGTCACAGTTCAACAGTATTATTTCTGAAGTATGTGGTTATTATAATCTTGTGCGTACCCCTTTTTGGTAATTGTGATGAATGTGCCTGTGCATGCATAATTTTTATTTATAAAAAGAATATTGTTCTTAAATATAGGTTTCAATGAATCCTATTGTAATTATTTAACAAACTCCCTGAATTATGGACTGTAAAATTAGCACACTTCTTTTTTTTTCCTCTAAAAATGAAATTTCGCTCTAATTTTAAATTGCTTTCTTGCAGATTTCCGCTGATAATTTTCTTTTATGCTTTGGTCACTATTCTTTTAGATCTTTTTATATAACAGCAGCCTTTTCCTTGCTTCTTAATGTTTCCAAAATATACTCTTAACATGGATGGCGCAACAAGAAGTAGGGGTCACATGAACTCTGCATTTCCATGAGTGACATCACATACCCCCACTCCTTCCATCACTACGCAACGCTCGGTAAACACCCCTCCCCACTAGGCTGTGGTGTCAAGTAACAGGTGAGTCCTTGCAGCGACTATTGCTAGGCAATTCGTGTTCACGGCAATTATGCAACAGGGAAGGGAGATGCATTTTCTGCTGTCTGGCTGAGGGTTTATAAGAGAAACTGGAATGCATAAGGAGGGCAGTGGAAGTCTAGCAGTCACTGAGTGCAGTTGAAATGAAGCAGCCGCCGAAGCCAGTTAGTTTACGGCAAAAATGTAAGAGTGAAAAAATTGCAAGACAGTTCTTTAGAATATCCGAAGATGGGAGATGATGGAAGGCATCAAAACATGGCTCAGCTCATGGGCGGCAAATGACTTTGACAGAGGCATGCAAAAACAAAAAGTGCCTCAATTCTGGCGGTGACTGTGTTGACTATGACAGCTACAAAGCTCTAATGCACAGCGAGCATTACTGTATGTATATTCATCCACTGTATTCTTTCAATTCTAAGCTTACTGTCCAACTGAGTTACAGATGCTGAAGTTGTCAAAGAAGTTAATTGAATAAAGACTTGATACATTGTGAGTATATGAACGTTTGCTAAACACAGTATCCTACTGAGAAAGGAGTCATATGATGATAGAAGCAGCAATAAATTACAACAAAGGAACATGTTCATTGGCTCTTAAAGGCCTTGTTCAAAGGAGAGGAATAAGTGGGAAGGTTTGGTGTGCTTCAGAAATTAATAAAAATGTGTGTTGAAAATTTGAATTCTAGTAAGTATGTAAATACATAATGTTTCATGGGTTGCATTTATGTGGAATATAGTTATTGTAATCCTCTTTGAAATATGTTGGAGGAAATCAGGAAAAGTAATATTTTTCATTGCATTTGGGGAAAACAAAAAGAGATTACTGGAGTTGTAATGTTCATCATTTCACTATTTGTAATTTCTAAACTACTGGGCTGATCTTGTCAAAATTCAGTATGGTAGATGAATTTACAGGGAGGTTCTTACATTTGTTGACTGGTTCATTGATCTGCACTGCATGAAGACCAATGTACCACTGGCTGCGAGGCACATATAAATTTTGCTGAAGAATCAGTATACCTGTTGGCCAGTAACATTTGGAAGTAATGGAAGTTATTAACTTTGTGGACCGCTTGAAGGCATTATGTTTCACAGTCACAGTGCAGTTCAAGCGTGGGAATTTGTTTATGATTTGTCAGAAGTGGACAGCAGTTATCAGCTCCATTAGCTGTTTGTTCTCACTTACAATTATTGAACAGTGTGTTCTGTTGTGGTGCAGTATACTTTAGAGCAACATGTATTTCTGTATGATACCTACACGAAATACAGATCTGATAGAAAGTGTCAGCAAAAATTTTGACATAAAAGAAGCTGTTTCCAGTGCCTTAAGATGTCACAGCAATGTTCCCAAATGATCCATGTAGGAACGAATTCATGAGCACACATTGTAATGTTTTTTCTTTTAATATATTTTGATCATTCGCACAGATTTATCTACTGCTCTTGATCATCTGCCTGGCTCTGAAATCCCATCCCTGATTGTAAGAGCAGGTTTCTTCTTGAGAAGTGAATGTGTCTCAGCTGGTCAATAAATTCTTGAATTTTATGATACCAGATTCATTAATATGTTCTTTTGTCCCTGTCCCCAACCAGATGGACACAGTCTGTAGACTCCTGCCCTGATCCTTTAGGTTCTATTTAATGCCTAGATGTTGAAGTGCTATATTCCCTTTTAGGTTTTCTGAATAAAATGTTGAATGTATTTCTAATATCTCTCAAGTCTGCTACACCCTCCTATCCCAAAGTTCCTTCCTACTTGATGTGATCACTCTGTGGTGATGCTCCTCATTATGAATTTCCTCCAGCCTTCTGTTACTTCCTCCAGATCCAGTTCTTTTCCTAAGCACCAACTTTTGATATTCCTCTAATTTATATGTTATATTGTTTAATTACAGCTGAATACTGTTTGTAAAACAACACAATATTTTGAAGTTAGTGTTCAAAATTATGAGGCAAGCAGATAATCAAAACTGATTTACAAATAACCAAAACCAACAGTGAACAAGAAACTCCAAGATGTCTGCTTTATGGTGGATATCTAAGCTGGCGGGAGTGATTATTGCCTCACATTATGGATGCATAGAAGCTAATGTCTTAAGATATGATCCAAAATGGGAAAGTTTGGACTCTAGGCCTTTGCCCCAGTGGTATGACAATTCAAAGTTTGGGATCTTCATACACTGGGGAGTTTTTTCTGTGCCAAGCTTCGGTTCTGAGTGGTTCTGGAGCAGCTGGGAAGGTAATATTGGAAGTTAAATAAAAAGCCTTCTTAGAGTTAAGTTAGCAAACTATATGAATTCACACACGTTGAAAATCCTCATACTGATCCTATAGGTTCCACAAAATTTTGATTTCTCTACAAAGTCAAATTAAATAATTACCAATAAAGAAACGGTTTCAAAATTTCTTAGCTGAGCCTACCATCAAACAATATAAATGTTATTTTGCCACTCTTGCCTTTTATGGCAGTTATTACTGTATTTACATTACATCATTAACAAATGTCATATTTTCTCAAATGTTAAGGTAAAGAAAGGCAAATGTGTCCCTGTTAAGCATAATGCCATGAAGATGTATGTAACAGTGGAGGTATAGCTCACCATTCTTGATCTCGGCATTAGATGGAGGTGAGTGGTCAGCCTAATGCTCTGGCTGCTTTAACCCTTGGGGAAAAACCCTCACACCCATTGAATAGCAAGCTCAGTGGTCCTCAGAGTTGGTCTGGGCACTGCAAAACTCCGTGATTTTAGTCCACCAGCGAACCATACCAACTGAGGGTCTGGGCACTGTATTGTAGAGAAAATGTTCTTGCCCTTGTCAGGAATCATATCCTAGCTTTCCAGCTCATAGCCTGTCACTGTTCTAAATGAGCTATCCTGTTCCCTATCTCAAATGTTAACAGGTCGAAAATATTAAAAATATGTAACTTTGAATATACTGTTACATCACAGACAATTTATAATTATCAGTAAAACAGCACTTCCATCATGTTACCAGCCTATTCAACGTAAGCTTCAGTCCACTAGTTAAATCATGACCATCAATGCAATGAAAAAAATAAACTATTACAATCCAACTTAAATTTTTTGTGACATTTCCTTGACAATAAATGTAAATGTTAAACTGTTACATTTGTTGTATATTTTTTGTATCATACAAAATTCTTCAAAGATGTGTTGAGTTCATACTGTAGAACCAGGCTTTGTAGCATATGCTAAATTCATAGGAAACTCTACAATCTTCAAGACTGCAGAAATATTTAAGAGCCCGGGAACAAGGTACATAGTAATAAACTTGGCACAGATCCCTACATTTTAACAGATTCAGCATACATAGTTTTAGAAACACTCTTTATTCTTGGACTTCAAGACAGAAAGTATATTTGTTACAATTACTTCTTTCCTTATATTTACCTAAGGAGCCGGGATAGCGCGGTCAGTATAGTGACTGGCTACAGGTTGGACGACAAGAGTTGGAGTTTCAGTCCTGGTAGGGTCAAGAATTATCTCTTCTCTATATCGTCCAGACCGGACCTGGGGTCCACCTGAACCTCCTATCCAATGGGTACCAGGGGTAAAACGGCCGGGGCGTGAAGCTGACCACTCACCTTCATCCAGTGCCCAGGTCAAGAAAACGTGGGTTTATACACCCAGTCCCCCTTACATCTTCATGATATAGAGTGTGGGAACATCCCACATACTAATACGTGGTTTTGCCGGTCTAACAGACAGCACTCGCTCCTAGTCAATATCAAGTTGCCGCACGTTGCTGTCCCCACTCGTATTTATACAGCACTCGATGTCCAGCCCACCTGTAAATCATCATGTGCGCTAGTCAATCAGTGCTCACAATCGCAGCTGCAAGTTTGAGCTCCGCCCAGCAAGCATGGTATAAAAGCGGAGCCCAAAGTTCGCAATCATCAGTAATGACAGACCCGACCTCTCGTCAGAGAGGGCACCCAAAATTGACAGGACAAAAGAAGAAAACATCTGGTCATGAGCCCCAGTTGGGGCTCGACACCTAGACAGACAGACAGATTGACTGACTGTCAGTTGCAAGATGACTTTGACTTTTTTGCAATCATCAGTGATCACATTCAGTTCAGAGTGATCAGTCATCAGAGTCATCAGCTGCCGCAGCTCTCCAGCAACCTCATTCTGCAACCAGGCAGTTAACGTAGTTGCGGCAACTCTCCAGCAACCACACTCTGTGACTAGGCAGCTAACGTAGTTGCCGAAACTCTCCAGCAACCGCGCCATAGGCAGCCGTTCCTACAGGTGCAGGCAGCACCACATTTCCGGCCAGACAAACCAGCTGAACAGCCATAAAGACTTGGTCTACTACATAGGAGCAAATTCTACCAGCGCCCCCATGGTGGAACAAACTGCCCTTTTTTAGGGCCAGCCAACTTTTGACATTCCACATAGCTTCGCAGCTATTCTGTACATTCAATTTATACAATTTAATATGTACAATTGTTACAGATTTATGTGGTTGTCTTTTAGAACATTGACAACCTCACAAGAGCTTAATTAGTTAAGCACAGGGACTTTATTTTTTTGCCTTATATTTACTTATATATAAATGTATATTCACTGTCTATTCATTTGACTATCAACCTCATACTAAGTCTGAAGAGTACTGAAAATGAAAACTATAAATACTATACTAGGTCCCATTTATCAAGACTTCCTTTTCTGTGTACCTGATTGGCTATTTTAAAAGTACAACATGCACTTAGTCTAAGCACTAAGCAAACCTATCACAATTACTATACAACTTTTGAAGAGCTTATAGGGAAAAATAAACTAATAGGAGAAAAAGCACTCTGACCTTTTTGGTATTAATTAATTCAAATTGCAATGCCATATAGTCACTACTAAATTTACCTGTTTCTGATTTTTCTCCTTTGTTTTATCTTTCTTTGTCACTGTATCTATATCTCTTTCTCCAGCTTCCTTTCTATGAATTAAATTTCTCACAAATATATGTCAATTTTAACAGACTGAAAGAAAAAATTAACTTCAGGAAGGTTACATTGGATGTTTAAGCAGCAGGAAATGTGGATCTGAATTCCACCTGAATGGTAATTCGTTTCCAGTCTACTGAAATAAACACTGTAATGTTAATGTCCAACTTGGAAGGTTACAAATTAAGGATTTCACAAAGGAATGCAACTATGTCATTACTTCTATATCTACTTTATAAATGGACATATAAGCCATATGTGAAAATATTGGCAGACTTTCATTCATGTTCTATAATTTCCTGAAACTGTGACAATACAGAGCTCAATACACATAGACTAAATAAAAAAAAGTGTTTTTTTAGAAGAATTTAAATTCCAGTTTTAGCAGTGTCAGATTATTGGACAATAAGAAAAACTTTAGTCTATGGAGTGAAAGCTATTCTTAAAATCCATGACATGACCTAACGATTAAGGTCAGTAAAATTATGATGCTGATATGGCAACATAGCACTTTGACCTTTGTCATATGCACCAAAAGAGCAAAATATCTGATCTGGATTCCACTAAATAGTGAAATACAATTAAGAATGAGATCAGCTTGGTTGTGGCTGTTAGTTATTGAGCTCCTAGTGGTGGCAGTACCTTCAGTTCCCACTGGGAATGAAATACTTACAGTCACCAGTTTCCAAAATATAGAAGCTAATATTACACAATATACTCCTACGTGGGATAGCCTTGATTCCAGACTGCTACCTCAGTGGTATGATGAAGCTAAAATTGGAATTTTCATCCACTGGGGTGTTTTTTCTGTACCAAGTTTTGGTTCTGAATGGTTCTGGAATGAGTGGAAAGGTACTAGTATTATATTTATTGTTATAGTCGTTATTGTTGTTGGTTAGATAGTTATGTCCTCTGACCCATACAAGAATTTTACTGTATAAGTGTGTGAATCCAGAAATATCTGCCTTATCTTCTTTAAGTTGACTGATCGGTCTGGGTTAATTAGTGGTGGTAATAAACTATAACAACATACATATTTATATACACAGAGCTTCTAAATGCCTTAAAATTCCACAAATAGATAAAGAACAGTTTCTATAGTTAGGAAACAGGCATCAGCTTCTTTAATCAGTGATGCAAAATTTCTATTTTCATTGAAAATCTTAATTAAAAAAGCAATAATCATAGCATATCTTAAATGAACATGTATATTGCATACATACATAGTGCCCACTTATGAGAAAATGTGTGAAGTGTACTTTACAATTTACTTTCCACTTCAGATACAGCTCTGTAATGAGCAACATTATTTTCCATTTTAGATAAGAAGTTATCACAATATGTGGACTTTATGAAGAAGAATTATCCTCCAGGTTTCACTTACCAAGACTTTGCAAGTGACTTCACGGCAGAGTTCTACAACCCTGATGATTGGGCAGAAATATTTCAGAGCTCTGGGGCAAGGTATGGTATTTTATCATCTAATTGCAAGCAATAGTAAAGTATGCTGTAATATGACATGGCAAACCAGTATAATTTTTGAAAAAATACAACACCTATTCCAACCTTCTTCTGGGAGGTGGAAGGTAGGTGTCAGTAAAGTTGCCAATATATTGCTTTATGATCGATAAATGACATTTATAATCTGTACATTTAATTATAATGGAAATGCACGAAAACAGGAATATGAGAATGGTGACACAGTATAAAGAAGTAAAGAAATTTCATCACAAGAACAATTCCTACATGTGCTGACAATAGTCATATATTGGTGGTATAATAGAAAACAGGGTTGTCACTAAACATCACTTTTGAGAAAAAGAAACATCAGGCATTATGTAGTCATGTATTTCAACTTAGTATTTCATTATGTCAATGAAATGTTAATGTAGTTTTTATCTCATTTTTTAATAAGGAGAATTTTGTGATGCACTTATCTCATTATGACCAATCACTTACTTATTCCTTTTCCTATAACACCATAGGTATGTCCCATGATACCACTTAAGCATTAGAAAATTAATGAAATTGCTGTGTGCTTTATATGCAAAAATAAAGTCTAAATAAACTACTTTGATTTTTATTATTATGGTAAATACTGGAGAAAATTATTTTTAACCAAAGTTGGATTTAAGCTTCATTCTGAGATCCATATTTATATTTGTGCTTAATAATATGATGTTCTGATATGTGAATCCTACATATTACAACATACATTTTACTTTGTAGATGTATATATTTCATGTTAATTATCAGAATATTATATTTGAGCTGGTTTGTTTTTATGAATTGTATCTGTATTGCATGGTAGTATAAAGGAAATTTGTTTAAATATTTATGTTACTTTTTGATACATATATATGCCATGTATTAAGTCAATATTTTGACTAAAAAGGATGAATAAAATTGAATCAAATTCAAGCACCCTAGGTTTGTTTTGTATGAACGATCAGTAAAAATTATAAATTTAAGTTTCTAATGTGTAGACGGGTTATTCAGTAACCCATCTTCTAAGGAAAAAATTATCTTGGACTTCTAGCTGTTCATTATATAGTAGTATTATATGTGACAGGCAGCATGCTTTAGACATTATGCAAGGTACAAGTATCCTTGGTGCAATAGTTACTAAATGCGTCAAAGAGGACTTTACAAAACCATACAGCAGAAAATATTTTGAAATAAGAATGGAAACACGTCTTAGGGAACACAATGTCGAAATATGTTCTTCATAAATATTCCTCCCTTTCTCATCTAGCACTGAACAGGTCATATCTGTGTTACAGGTATATTGTGTTAACCAGTAAACATCATGAAGGCTACACTCTGTGGCCATCCAAGACAGCCTTCAGTTGGAATGCTGTGGATGTAGGTCCACACAGGGACTTATTGGGTGAGGGTATCAAGTTTACATTGCTTGACATTAACTTCATGCTCTGAAGGTCAAATCATATACAGCACTATAACTGAAGTGGGCCACAGAGACATTTCATCCCATTTGTTTTGTGATTGTGTTTATTTCAAAATGGCACTTATGACAAGACTACACCAAACAACATAACTAAATATGTGGTAAAAGGTCTTCCTTGAAAAATCAGTAGTTTACTGTTTTAAAAAATTTCTGTTTGCATACAACCTAAAGGCTCAGTACCTTCACATATTACTTCTTTAAGACCAACTTCAATATTACTCTTCATCTATACCGGTCACTCCTAAATGATCTGTTTCCTTGCGATTTTTAAACCACAATGTATGTATTTCTGATTGCCATTATACATGCTGCATATCCCCAATCATTTCATCCTTGATTGGATTACCCCATTATTATTATTATTATCATTATATTGTCACATTATTTAGCGACTGTAGATGAGTTTTGGTTTGATGATGGGATTTCATTCTTTAATACACCACACATAACCCCCCCCACTAGTGTCCACAGTCACGTCTTCATTAGCCGTTGCTTGTTAACGGCTTTCAATGGCAGACGTTCCCNCCCCTTTCTCTGGGTTGCCAAATTATCCCCGGCCCCAGCTACCAGCTACCAGCTTCTCAGAGCAACAGCTCACAATGACTGAACCACAGCTGTTCTCTGACTAGCTCAGTCACTCACCAACCATTATTATTATTATTATTATTATTGGAGGGGGTGGGTTTCCCCATGCACTATGACCAGTTGTTGATCCATTGTGCGCCCCCCTTTAATTTCTACTGTCGCCATCCCCTTCCAGTACTGGTGCTCGCTATCGGCCCCATTCTGCCCTTGAGGTCGGCCCTCTCTGGCAGTGGTCCCCGATACTTCCCCATCTATCGGAGGAATTGGAAACTACTTGGGTGGGAAACTTTGCCTAATTTTGCTCAGAAGTCTTCTAGAGACATGAGGATCTTTTACGTGCCATAAAGCTATGACATGGGACCCACGGCTTAAAGTCCCTCCTGGAGGACTTGTTCCCTGAATTTTTCTGCCCTTAAAAATTCCACGAGCTCCGCCGGGTTTGAACCCGCTTACCTTGAGTCACGAGGTGGGAACGTTACCCCTAGACTACGGAGGCCGCTTCACCAACCAACTAACTCTACTGACTGATTCTCACTCAAAGTCAAAGTCAAAGTCACATTGCGACTGATGACAAGTCAGTCAGTAAGTCTTGGTGTCAAGCCCCTTCCTGGGGCTTATGACCAGATATTTGTTACTGTTTGATAGTTATGGTCTTGTTCCTCTGGTATATGCTGCTAGTTCTTGCCAGCGCAGTCTTTCTCAGGTCCGAGTCCTTGGGACATGCGACCATATTTTACTGTCTCAGATTTGAAATGTCCCTTTATGTTGCCTCCTATGACTCGCAGGGTCACGGTGGAAGTATTCAACCCCACCTCCACATGGGTGTGACTCTCACTAACTGTCTGGTTTATAACACTTTGGCATAGACCACACAGAAAACACCACTCCGTTATTGCTGTGCAATTGGTACCATGGAAATGTGCTAGTTTGTGAAGTTGTTGCTCAGTAACAGCTGTTGTATAGCTGGTTCTTCCAGTCGTTGCCTAGCAACAGGTCTACATGCCATAATATGAAGGGTACAAATTTTTTAAGCTCCTCATTATGCAGTTTTCTTCATTCCTCTTTCACTTCTATCCTCAGTGCCTTCATCACCCTCAGCTTAGCAAATATTTCATTGGACTCTTTTCTTAACTTCGCATGTGTGTACATAGAAAAGCTTTTTTTTTTTTAAATCAACATTGGGTCCTTATCAATGAATACTGCCACATGTATGAGGGTACGTGTGATGAAATTAATGAGTTCCAGTTCAGATGAGTAGATTTATTGGCACTTCGGTTAAAAGTTCTTTTAACACACTTATTACAGTGCTATCACTGATTTAAACTTTATAATTCTCTGGTACACACACACACACTAGTCATCTTCCGGTAACAGATCTCAACACAGAAACTGTCACTTCAGATCACTGTGAAGTCTTCTTGTCAGTTTGTCTTCAATCACTCTGGTACCTTGGAACTCAAATAAAAACTCTTTTCAGCTGCAAGCAGACTTGTTATACGGCCACGGCATGGAAAACACATAAAATACAGTTCTACTGTTGCATAGTGAACCCCACACAGAAAACAAGTCATGTGAGTGCTAACTACCATTGGAATGTGACATCATGGTACCTGTGTGGAAGTGTGTTTACCAAGTGGTTGCCTAGAAGTAGGTTACATAACCCAGCTGTACCATTGTTGGTGCATGTACTACATATAAACGGCTGTTTCTGTGGCTCAATCGTTCTTGCATGGAGCAAATACATCACAATATTTATCAAGATTCTGCACACGAGAATCATAACTTTCTCAGAAGTAATTATGACTCCCCTAATCAACTAGACACAACCCCCAGTGGGGCACACCTCACACTATGGAACAAACCAAGGGACAAACCAAGATCCACATCCACGAAATCAACAGGTGAAATTATGATTCTGTATATTTAGGCTTACATGTTTTTCGGTAGTCACTGGAAGACAAAGGATGGTAGGAAGCATTAGGAAACTTAAATTCTTAATTTTATCCTGAAAATCATGTTGATTGACTATTACTATATCCAGTAACCTATCTCCTATCTTTTCACCATTTGCTGAAAGAAATACAATTTTTCTTTCAAAAATTGGTCAGACGAACCACTGGGTTTTACAAAGGATTCCCAATAATCCCCAGCACATATTATTTTAATGGCAGGTTTTTCTATTAAAATTATAAATCCAAAACTGCTTCTGTACTTGATTCCTTAAGCTGGAGTTTTGTTCATGGCCAAGTAAAGTAAAATTTTTAAGAGCTCTCTTATTGTAGCAGATCGTTTTCTCAACAAAAGTGTGAACTTGAGAAGGCTGACAGCCAGTGAGTTGGGCTTTGATTCTTGTGGCCTAGAATTCTCTTTTCCACACTGTCCAGATTAGTTCTGGGGCCTTGCCAGCCTCCTATCCTATGGATAGTTGGGGCTCTTCCTGCAGGGGTAAAGCAGCCAGGGTGTGACACACACCACTCACCTCCACCTAGTGCCAAGAGGCTAATAATTCACTACCCACACACCTTCATGGTGGTATGCTTTACAGATGAGATTCTACCTTTTCAGATTATAAATGAGAAGATAGCTTTTTCATGAAACTTCAGAGTCAATAAATAACATGTGCTTACCACTCTTTAGAATCTGTTCAATACAAAAAGTAAACTATCACTGTTTTAGTAGAACTGGTATGTATGCTATATGTTGCAGGAGAACTGTCCAACTCTATTCGAAAAAAGACGGACCTCAAGTTTGGACTGTATCACTCTTTGTATGAGTGGTTCAACCCACTGTATCTGCACGATAAGAACAACAATTTCACTACACAACTATTTGTGAAACAGAAAACCATTCCTGAGTTGTACGAATTGGTATGTCTTATTAAATGTTTCAAAATGTTTAACCTTTAATGTCTGAAGTGCCCCGATTGGGTCAGTGATGAGTATGGTCACTGTGGCCAAAGTACCCAAATTTGGCCAGTCGGGCATTTAAACTCCACTAGTGGAAGCGCATGCACACGCCACTAGTAGAAGCGCATGCACAGTCCTAAATATTTATTTCTAAATCTGGTAACTACCAGACAGGCTTGAGTAAAACCTTAATAGAGGAATTAAAATGATACCTAAGTGAACAACAACAAAAAAGAGTATTCATATGAGTTATGCTGAAACTCATCCATGAGCCAGTACTTTTATGGCAGATTCTGCAGATTAATGTGTTAAAAATATACAGTAAAATTCGATGTACATACCTTTTTTGTTGTTATCTACTTGATGCATATTAATGCGTATCGGGCGTATATCGCGACAAATAACTTCACGCCATATTTTATATAGCAAATTTTATTTCACATTCGCACTTACAATCACCCAAATTACAGATTTACGATTACTGCTATCTGCAGTATCACAAATAGTACATTCCAAATGCCAGACTACAACTGGCTGGTTGCTGGCTAACTCGGAACTAACTCGGAGGTAGCTCACGGACTCACTCGGAGGTAGCTCCAGGACTGACTGTGAATAGCCTTCGCTGCTCCTTATGTAGCCTCGGTCCGGACCATTGTCGTCTGGTGCCGTGTTGCTAGCCACGCTGTCCAGAGTTGTTGACTGCTGCCTAGCAACCGCGATATCCCTCGGTGATGTCACCGCTGTTGACTCGCTTTGCATAGCTTCAAGGTTGCAGGGACTCGGCTAATGTCGGCTCCACTCGGCTCACTTCGGCTACGCTCGTGACGTCACCGCGGGGAGAGTTGCGGGGTGATTACTCGCCTATTACGTGAGTGCTACGTTACCGCTACGTGCAGCTGGGGAGGTAGGGGTCAACATGTCACAATATATAGGCTGAAATGAAACTATGGTATTCGATTTCGCTATGAACGCGCAGAAAACAGATATCAAAAGTCTGGCATTTAAAGGTTAAATTATAATTAACTTTTATACTTATTTACTGATAGGTATTTTAATGTTCTCTGTCTACTTCTTTGTCTTATAGTTAAGTTTGATACTTAGTATCATTACATCAGTTAATCCTAGGACAATACTTTTTGCAGTATTTAGAGCAAGCATAAATGGACCCAAAGAAACATGTGCTATGACAGTGTTCTGCTATAATGAATATAAACTTATCCTACTCAAAGGATGAAAGTTATGAACAAATTCCTACAAGCCTCATCATCTGCACAGCAGTTGCTCATAAACTGTTGTCCATATCATGTCCTTCTGTAAATATCACATTTACAGGAAGCATACAACTGAGAATTTGAACATTTGTAACAAATTTGGTTTTAAACAGGCAGATTGCTCATACTGAGCATATCACTGTGAAGAAAGTTCCATTATGGTGGCTGAAAAATGATTAAATTAAAGGAATTAAAGGAATCAACCTTGTGAATGGTTGGTATTTTGAGATCCTTCTTTCTGTGTACATCATTGCCTGTGTGGAACCTCACATTTCTTTTAACTGGAACCAATATTTTTATTAGTAATTTTTATATATGTGGAGGCAATGACAACAGCAATTAACTATAATGAGTTTTTATTGGCTTACTACATGCTGAACTCAATAGCTACAGACCAAATACAGAGTCAGAACAAATTCAGAAGCGCAAAAACACAAAATCATGGGGATACAAACAAAAAACAAACAATAAAAAAGTTAAATCAATTAATGTTACCTAAATTTAAACATAAGTTTTAATATTACTAGTAATAATAATTCAATTCATTTTAGAATGCTTGCCAGCAACACTGGTCTACTGCAGGAAAACACTAAAATACATAACAAAAACAAGGAAATACAGAGATAAAATGAAAAAGAGATAATAACTGAATCAGAATTATATATAGGAAATGTAGCCTCCAGAGAAACCATACTCCTATTAAAAACATTAAGAAACTGAAATGTTCCATCAGCAGTACTGATACACCTGACTGAAAGACTGGAATTTACATTATTGCCCATACTAAAAATGGAAAGTCCCTAACTAATTTAGTGGGTACACAAAAACTAACAGTATCCATCAGAGTGTGACATGTCAAACCATTGTTGGGCAACAGGATGTGGAATAAGTTACCATGAGGACAGATTCTTGATAAATGGTCAGTTGCCAAGTTACACAACATTAAGGAAAGCAGTGTTTCTCCATAACGCACTGAGCTGGGCCAAGCTGAGCCAAAGCGCACTGGTTGATATGCAGCAGTAAAGAACTCTCGGCAGCGTTGCCAAGCAACGCCTCTGTAAACACGTCATGCCACAGTGAATCAAGCTGCGTTTTCCGCCTGTCTGATTAAGGGTTTATAAGAGAAAGTGGAAAAACTTAGGGCCAGTATTAGTTAGTATTCGCCAGTATTTGGCAGAACAGAAGTCAGTCAGTCAGTTGAAGCAACTGCGGGCAGAAGAACTGAATGCATGATTAGTTCCACCTGTCTGATTAAGGGTTTATAAGAGAAAGTGGAAAAACTTAGGGCCAGTATTAGTTAGTATTCGCCAGTATTTGGCAGAACAGAAGTCAGTCAGTCAGTTGTTGTGTAAACCTGCAACAGAAGAACTGAATGCATGATTAGAAGATTTTATGTGTGATAATCAGTGATAGTGGTGATAACTGAGAAAGCACTGAGTATTGGGAGTGTGTAATTCAGTGACAGTGGTGTAGCTTCCATGTTATACTGTAAATAAATGAAAACTACTGAAGATAGCATGAAGAGATTAGTGTGTAGGGTTTGTAAATTGTGTAAACCTGCAACAGGGTTATAATTAATTGTAGTTACAACTTGTAGGTTGTTAATAAAACCAATTAACAATCTGAATAGCGTCCACAGTAGCTCAAACACGTTACAATATATGTGTGGTGGAGCCTTGAAGTGTGGCAGAAAATAACAACAAGAGCTACAATAATTTTTGCACTACAACTTGCATAGAGAGGAATTTTCTATTCTCATTAGTTGTTTAAACTTTTCTAATTCTCTTTTTTATACACTTAATATTCATTACTCTGATGTATTATGTTAATGCACATCAAAGAAGAGCATACATGCAAAAAAAAAATGAGGGTCAGATGAAATTTCTGTTTGGAGAAAATAAATGGTTTAGGTTTCTTTGGGGGCTTGGATATATAAATGCTGTCTCTAACATAAATGAAATTTCATTTTGAAAGGTTACTTAATAAGCCTGTGGACTGTGCAGGCTGGTCCCGCACCTTAGCCACAACACTAAGTAACCTAAGGTTTTTCATGATTTTCCTCAATCCCTCCATGCAATGCCATGCCAGGACCTTTATTAGACCGTGACTGCTTCCTTCCAAATTCTTTCCAATCTATTATTCATAAGTCATCCTACCATTCAGTGCTGATCATGAAATGTATGATTTGGATTTCTCACAGTGGTGGTTTCGAAGAATTCTATCTTCAGGGATAAAATGTTGTAGGCTCTGTTGAAACTCAACTAACATTTCAGAGAAATGTATTACCTCCATCTTCAAGGTTGAAGAGTAAGCTAAGCAAGAGATAAGCATGAAGCAGGCAGCAAGCAACAGCTTTTGTTGGCTGCCTGCTTCATGCTGATTTCTTGTGCAGGTGGAAAACTACTATCCAGAAGTGATATGGTCAGATGGTGAATGGGAAGCAACAGACGAATACTGGACATCAAAGGAATTCATTGCCTGGTTGTATAATGAGAGCCCAGTTAAGGACACAGTTGTAGTAAATGATCGCTGGGGAAAAGGAGATGTTGGCAAGCATGGTGACTACTACACCTATTCTGATCGATACAACCCAGGTAAGCAAGTTCTGATTCCACATACAATATTTTTTGACTATTCATCATGTTCTTCATTGCAGTTAACCAAAAATATTATTCCTTTACCTTCAGAAGAGTCAAATTATATTTTCAGGAGTGCTTCAGCCACATAAATGGGAGAACTGTATGACAATTGACAAACAATCTTGGGGCTTTCGCAGAAATGCCAGGCTATCAGACTACCTTACAATGGAAGAACTAGTGCAGACACTGGCTCAGACCGTCAGCTGTGGAGGTATGCACAAGCATTTCCTAATCACCACAAAGAAGCCTACATTTCTAAAAATCATATGTGCAGGTATAAAGAAACACAAGTTCAAATAACATACAACTACAGCCAATAATTTAGTGGACTGTGGTTTTGTCGCACCATATTACAAGATACTCATATACACTTACACATATCCACATCCTCCCTCAAAATACTCATCATTGGCCACTATGCAAATCTGCCAATATTTGCATAGCACTATGATCAGGTCACCACAAATGCTCATGCGATCATCACGTTGGTCTTGCATCAGGACGTGTTGAACACTGTGTTGGCTAACACGAGACATGTTCAGGTCATCAGACATAATTCTGTGGCAAGTACCATGGCTAATCCTTGCTGCTCCTGTGATTTCTTCTACTGTTTGGAAGCGGCTGGCATGCGCCAACATGGCAACTTCTTGGATCTTGAGTTCAGTTCTGACCATTGTTGGCCGACATGTATGCTCATCATCTTCCAAACTCTCTCTCCCCTGTGCAAAACGTTTGTGCCACTTAAAACAGCATGGTGGCACAAGGCTTCTTCACTGTACGCTTGCTTGATCATCTGAAATGATTTGCTAGTGGATTTGCCTAAATTTTCACAGAACTTGACATTTGCCTGTTGCTCAAACTGAAACATTCTCTATTTCCACCATTCAGACAACTGCCCTTCACAATAGCGATTTTCTTTCTGAATACACCACATGCATGCAACTGCTTCTTGCTGGGACGAGAGAAGAACGGACACGGCACCATTTCATGTCTCCACATATCCACTGTAGGGCAAAACAGCACCACTATGAGGCCAATCCACGAAATTATTGACTTTACTATGTATATGAACCATCATCACAAACAGATACAGCAAAATCTCCATTAACGATTCTTTGGAGAGCAGGGAATTTGAAAACTAAGCTGAGAAAAATCTTATATGGTGGAAATTTAACCCTGAGAATTTTGACTTTGAAGCATTGAAACTGGATGTTAAAATGCATAGACACCTTAAATTTTGGAATATTAAATTGGATTCCACTGTACCTAGAATTTGATGATCTTATGAGTAACAGATAATGGTCTAAACCGTTCCGTTAACTGTACAAATAGTTAATCTGTAAATAAAGTAGTATATCTACATCCTATTCTCACACATCAGGGAATCTACTGATGAATATTGGCCCCACTAAGGATGGGATCATTGCCCCAATTTATGAAGAACGACTCAGAGGGATGGGTGCCTGGCTTAAGATCAATGGAGAGGCCATCTATTCTACCAAACCATGGACTTACCAAAATGACACTTTTGCTTCTGGAGTGTGGTGAGTCTATTCTTAAAATTCCTATCTAATTTACTGAAATAACAGCAATTATTATATTCATTTTTGCAGGACACCATTGATAATGAATGTACAAAATTGCATCATGGTATTATCATTTCAGATTCAAGAGAGAAGTTCAAGAAAAGTTGGAAGGGAAATTTTACATGCTTGAGTCTATTTACAAACAAATTCGTGATTTGCATGACAACAAAATAGGTAGCAACTTTATGGACACCTGTACAAAATAACCATTCATGACATTCTGCATGGGGATCATGCACTAATTCCATCACTTAAATTATCAGACTCAGTTTTAATTCCCTCAGTGTAACAGGCATCTGAACTATTTCTCTTGCTGGGGTAAAGGCAAGCACTTCATTTTCTGGGGGTGGTCATAATAAAAGTTATGCATCTATAATGTTGAATGTGGTAGAAAGTGAACAAGGTTCTCATGGTAATGAAGATTCATCTGAAACATTGGTACCTACCTAGCACATTATATGATGTCATAACAAAAAAGATTGCAATGTGAATGACAGAGAGTGCATTAGTGTTATCCATATAAAAGTACTGTCTGCAATCCTATTATCTATCATACCAGCTGAAGTGACTCTGTAATCACACAAATTTATTCACTTAAAGCTTTAAAGCCCAGTAGCTCTGTATGAGCAACTTGCTTTAACTTGCCAAGTTTTGCATTCTGCCCCCAGAGCACATCTGTGTATTCATATAATTTTCACAATAAACAGAGACTGTTTTCCTAGTAGCATTAACTGGTTGATATATGTAGGGCAGTCAAGAAGTTCCAGGAATTCCTCTGCAGACGGAGAACGAGCGATAAGATAGTGCACATACTGTTGTGGTGGGGAGCTCAGCATGTCTGCTCACAGGCGCAAGAGGTCTGGACAGGTTTCAGTGTGCAGTGTCGTTACTGTTCCATTTGAATTAGATGTGAGTGTTGGTCATTCGGCGCAATGTTGCAGTTTGAACAGCACGCGAACATCAAGTTCATATGCAAATTGGGAAAATCTGCTTCAGAGACGCAATTGGCCCTGCAGCAAGTTTATGGTGATACTGCACTAAAGAAATCCGCAGTTTATGACTGGTTTCCCGGTTTAAGAATGGGCAGGAGATGTTAGAGGATGACCAGGGCAGCAGGAGACCTTCGACATCCAGAACCGAAGAAATGATTGGAAAAGTGCGACAACTGATTCGATGTGATCAAAGAATGACCATCACGGTATTGGAGCAAGAAGTTGGTATCTCTCACGGATCCATTCATGCCATTTTAACCGATGATTTGAAGATGAGACACGTCAGTACGAAGTTTGTTCTGAGGCAGCTGACCATGGATCAGATGGAATGTCACACGATGGTCGCTGGCGATCTGTTTGACAAAAGTACGCAGGACCCAATGTTTCTCAAAAAGATCGTCACTGGCGTTCGCCTGCCTACAACCCAGAGATGAAGATGTAGTCATTGGAGTGGCACACAGCATTGTCTGCCCGGCCAAAAAAATCACACATCAGATCCAAAGACAAAGTGATGCTCATTGCATTCTTTGACATCGACGGTTTGGTGCACCATGAGTTTGTTCCGCCTGGACAGACTGTTACTGGCCATTTCTATGTGCAAGTTTTGCAGAGGTTGTGCGATGCGGTTAGAAGGAAGCGGCACGACAAGTGGCAGGGACAGTGGTTTCTGCATCACAATAACGCACCGAGCCACACATCACTTGTTGTGCAGTAATTCCTCGCCAAGAAAAACATTCCTGTCATCACTCAACCACTGTACTCTCTGGATCTCGCTCCGAGTTGACTTTTGGCTGGTCCCTACTCTGAAAATGGGCCTCAAGGGGACACGTTTCGCAACCATGGAGGACATCAAATCGAATGCGACAGCTGAGCTCCGGAAGATTCCAAAATGAGCCTTCCACCGCTGCTTCAAACAATGGCAGGATCGATGGAGCAAGTGTGTGTGTGCACAAGGGTCCTACTTTGAAGGTGATTACGTAAGCGTTGCCGTATGTCCTACCATTAGAGTGCTATACCACCATTCCAGGAACTTTTTGACTCCCCTCGTATGTAATGTGTTTCCTGTGAGATACAAAGCGATTTTTATATATTATTTAGTAGAAATTCAGTCTTTAAAGGCATAAACTGGACTGGTCATACATACATAAGAAAAATTATTCCTGCCTCACAAAATACAGAACCAAACGTTTATGGAGGTTTTGTGGAATTAGGAAGATATCATACCTTATTTATAATTTCTTCTTCCATGTAATATCTATTTTGTTGTGTGATAAATGGAAAGACTGCTCAGAAAGAAAAGAGAATGGCTAAATTGCTTCTTCCAAACATTTAAATAGAAACTTGTCAGATTACAGTATTATTCTCTTTACTTTCTTAAATGAACAGGATGACCTAGACTTGTATCTGCATGGTGCTCAGTTTGAATTTCAGTTCAGACAGCAGCCATCTTGACTGAGATTTCTCACAGCTTCCCTCAGTCCCTCCAGGGAAATGACATGGTAATACTTTAATTAGGCAATGACCACTCCCTTCAAAATCCTTTCAAATTCAACATTCATCAGTCATTCAACCATCCAATGCTATACAGTCTGCACTACAAAATCTGCAACAACAAAATTCTCTTTTAGTACTAAAGTACCTCTATGTTTGTTGCATGGAGAACAACAATCTAAGAGAACTACTAACTGCACATCATAATATATGACTTTCATAAAATAATACTACTTCAGTCTTAGTCAAGGTGTTTATGGCTATTTGGGCTTTGTCCATCATCCTACCACATCATTTCAGAAATTGGTTATCTGTGCTTTCAGGTGAGAGGATATGAAGAGACTGGCATTCTCAGTAATCTATTCTCATACCTCTTACAATGACAGTATTCAGAAACCCAAGTCTAACAACTCTACTCACAATGAAATTCATCCTGCTGTGGAAGATAAATGGAAATTAATTAAGCAAAATGAATCCACCAATTATGAACTTCCAGAAAATTTCCATTTCAGCACCACCTCACTGCAACATGTAACAAGGCCATATGTTGACAGGTATACAAAGCGTGGCAGTGATGTTGTTACTACTACTGTGTATGCAATTACACTGAACTGGCCCAAGAATGGCATCCTCAAACTGGCAGCTCCACGGTTGGTACAGAATTCCACTGTCACACTTCTGGGACATGGTCAAGATTTACAGGTACAGATCTGAACAGAATCAGATTAGAAATTCTTGCACATGGAACTATAATATAACTAATAACTCCATGGTACTGGATATTCATGAATAGAAGTTCAGTTGGTTAACTGTGCCTTTACAGAATTCAGTTCTCAACACATCCATTTCCTTGTCTAAGACCCATTTTATTATTATTATCCCACCAACCCAAGGTCTCCCAGATGTATCTTTTATTGACATACTCTAAAGAAACTTCTACCATTTGCCCTTTCTTCTATGAATGCTATGTATCTCCCTTACCTCACCGTAAATTATAAAACTATTCATCATGCAATCATCTCCAGTAGTTTCGTTACTTCACGTTAGATACAAATATCTTTTTCTTGCTCGCTTAGTGGGGGGTGGAGTCCAACTGGGTCCACTTGGCATGGCAGCCACTGATTGGCCTATTGTAGCCTGCCCAAGGTGGTGATGATGATGATGATGGTGAATTTGGTGGAATGAAGATTGGCAGGGGAAACTGAAGTACTCGGAGAAAACCTGCCCCAGTGCCACTTTGTCCATCACAAATCCCACTTGACCAGACCCAGGATTGAACCTGGGCTGCCGCGGTGGGAAGCCAGCGACTAACCGCTTGAGCTATGGTGCAGCCAAGTGGAGGATTTCTCACCAAAAATTGTTTATGCATTTCTTGTCTTAATCTGAATCACATACCCAATTCACTGTAACCTCCTACATTTCATTACCCCAACAATATAAGTATTATATGATTTGTATAAGCCAAAAGATTCCCTTTATGTAATGTTCTAAACTTTGTGAACATTTTGTCATTATACTAATGAATCTGATGCTGAATGTTTGGCTGCATGAAAAATGTTACCTACAAGTGGCTCAGAAGCCTGTAGTGATATCTTCACAGTAACTAATCATGTCCTCTATTCAGTATTAGCTTCCATGTAAATAAATTCTGAGCACCTGATAAAACATTCTAAACACAGAAGCAAAAATTTTCATGTTCAATAATTATTGAACATGAAAATTATTATTTATTTATTATAAAATTTATTATAATAAATGCTGTATAGAGGACTACTTAGTACAGTCAGGCCTGCAATGATTTATGTAATTACTAATCAACTGTCGCATGTACTCGTAGTTCAAGTTAAATTCAAATTCTTTACAGTGGTTATCCAGAGATGGTATCCAGATATGGCTCCCCAACAAAGCCAAAATTACAAGTGAATGGGCTTGGGTGATCAAGATGACCAAAGTGACAAACTGAGGCTTTGAGTATCAGAAAGCCACAAATAACAGACATCAAGTTCAGACCAAATTCAATAATATGATCTTATTAACTCTATTATACTTGCAGTGTTTGCAGATGTATGTACCTATTTTACATAACTGTGTAGTATGATCATCTAAATGTATGGTTCTGCCAGTGAACTAAACTGTTGGACTGCTGCAGGCAATGGTTGCAGTGTCACATGTAATAGGCCAAGGTGTTTTTTCTATTGCAGTAATCATGTGGGTTATGAACATCTGAAAATGGTAGCACTTTATGTTTTAAGGAAACAGTGACAGGATATCATTTATACATTCCACAATAGGAACAGCCTAGAAAGGAGAATATATATTTTTCAGAAGAGGCAGGAATGACAACACCAACATCTAACAAGGCACCTTCCAACTTCCTATTGCGTGGAGTTTTAGTTCCACAGACACAGCATTGCTGCAACGTAAGTCACATATGTGCCTTCAATTTTTGTACATATTTTAGCCACCACACAGTAACATTCATATCATCCTCGTTGCCACTCCCGTCCTCGTCCACCGCCACCGCCACCGCCACCGCCACCGCCACCGCCACCATTGTCGTAGCTCCTGATGGTGTTTTTAACATTTTACTTCTACATTAAATATGTCAGATATAATCTCCAACTTTCGCACTGCTGCTCTGTTTAAATTGTCAACATATAAGCAAAATTTCATACATAACATGTGGATACATTTATATTTCACGTGCTTAGCTCCATAAGGTCATTACCAAACCAAAACGTTTCACACAGCTGTCATGTTGATATTTTCCATTCAACAAAAAACTGCTGAATTTTTTTCTAAGATATACCATTTCAGGATTCTAAATTAAGTAATGCTAGTGTTGCTATCACCTACTATTTCACATGTCCATCACCTCGTTATTAATGCTTCTAGGATTTTAAGAAATGAAACAGTGTGACCTCCAGTATTGTTAACGTTCACATCAAATGGTTCAAAAGTTGAAAGAGGGACACACAAACAACACGGAGATCTCATATGACCAAGAAAGGACAAAAAGCTGAAACATATCACTACATAAACATCTTCTTCTGAATCCATTTTGTTCTTCATATTATTTATTTTCTAAACACTTAATATCAGATACACATTCCACCAGTCCCTGTTACTCATTTGTGGAATGAAGACTAAACATGCATATCACAAGGATATAATACGCGGCTATGTTGGACATTGACTGGTTCCAGGAGTAGTTGTTGTAGTGAGTGCATGAGCCATGAGAATAAGCAGGGACCACAGTAATGGACCTAGGCATACTGAAATGCTATTATAGCATTGACTGCATCTGACACTGCAGCCACTGTTTTACCACATGCCTTAAACAAGTGATTCTAAAACAAATTACATGGCAAACCGGGAAAATATCTAAATTCTCTACATGGCTAAAATTGTATAAGTACACGCGCACACGCACACACACACGTTAAATGTTTAAATAAACATTATGTTTATGCTACTAATACACACTATGTGTAGACAGCCTGCATGGCATAGCATTTGTAGTAAACAGTCACCTTCTCCCAACAGTTTTAAGAATAATAATAAAAAAAACTTTGGTAGCAAGTTTAGCAAGACACTAAAAGTTTGATGCAGATGGATGCCAGTCTGCAAAGCAAAATCTGAGAAACAGTGCCTTAAACAAATAAATATCCTGCAGTGACTTTCACGTATCTTTCGGAAGGCATTATGCTCAAAACAGTTATTAGATGGCTCAAAAACTACACAAGATTATTTCCAGCCACCTACTGTGGTAAATATTCTAACTCTATCAGATATTTCATGTAACATGTAATCATCATTATGTAAGTGTTACTGTCTTGTCTACTGATATTCAGAATTTTGTGTAACATTTCTTGACAAAGAGAACTGTTAATAAAAATCAGTAAGTATAGCATCATTAGCAATCAAGACAAGTTTATTTTCTGTAATTATAACTACACAAATTTGTCAATACAATCCCTGTTCTCAGTGCTTCACTTGATGAGGGTGGGAGATGACACGTCTGAGATTTATCATACATTTTTTACTAATGCAACTATTATCAGTTCAATCTGCCCACATGCCCTGTTTGTAAGAACATTACATTCTATATGAGGGAAAGTAATAAGAAATTTATTTTCACAATGATGGCTGCACTGATCATCTAGTATTCAGTTTATTTTTCAGTGTTCTCAATTTATCTCCAAGTTTAAAAAATTAGTTTTGTTTTGCTTTCTTAGATATAGCAAAAAAAAAAAGGACTTACGATGAAATGGATGGTATTGTATTTTGCGGGATAGTGCAGTTGGTAAAATTACTGGCTACAAGATGGATGGCCAAAGGGTTGGAGCTAGAGTTCTGGTAGAGGCAGGACATTTCTCCTCTCCACATTGTCCAGACCAGTTTTGCATCTCACCCAGCCTCCTAGCCAATGAGCACCACAGGCTCCTTCCCAGGGTATGAAGCTGACCACTCACCTCCAACTAGTGCTGGTGTCAAAATATGTGAAAACCATTTCCAAAAGTAGGGCTCTGTGACATTGGATTACCTCAAAACTCTGTGATGACTCACATTTGTGAGAAAGTGACTATTAAAGAAGAAAAGATTAAAGATGATCAATCAAATCTACAGAATGCAAACAAAATCAAAGTCCATATTTACAGAACTATCTTAACAAGAAAGCTTATCCTCTTACCTGAGAAACATGTGGTACTTATCCTGTGATAACAGTGAAGAAGAGATTATAGTGAAGGATTTTTTAGTGTTGCATCCTGCTTGTGTAAGAATTACAAGTGGTGTCACAGTACGACCATCAGTCTTCACTTACAGTTGAGTCTGGTGACAGAAGAGATGTAAGTTAAGCCTCCAAGACAGGAATTCCAAAACATTCAGTTGTACATAAATACTGCATATATACTTTACCATAAAATCAACCAAAAGAGTACTTACCATTTTCATATGGTTTCAAATATCCCCTGTAAATTTTGGCAAGAGCTGTAAAACACCAACAAAATCTATTCCATGCACTCATGAACAAAAATTATGGATATCTACCTGGGAGAGTCTGGTGACCTACAAACCCTGTGCAAGAGAAAAATAATGTCAAGAACTTTCACAATGAAGAACCTTATTTCTAAGTAATACAGAAATGTGCAAGCTGAGATAAATAATTTTGTTGAAGGATTTTGTTTTAAATTGTCTCAAAATTGATTCTAATGGGTTCTGATGATGGTGTATAATACTTAGAATTACTAGGTTTTCGGACTTTGTTCATAGTCTGGTATTCTAAAACTAGAAAACACAACATTTCAGAAAATGGATCTGTTTCCAGTTTCCAAAAGTCTGAAAAACTAGCAATTCTGTGTCTCAAAATTACAATAATTTTTATTTGTATATTTCACTATAAGACAAACATGCCTATGGTCTCTACACCTGGCATGACAGTTTGGCATAAAGGCTATACAAGATTCTGTTAAGTCTTACTGATGTCTATGCATAAGCATTCCAAACATTGGGCTGCCACACCAGGTATGGGATGGTTGAAGCTCTTCATTGGTGCTTTTAGATAACTTTCTAAGGAGACAGGAAGGAGCACAGACTGTTAACCGATCATTGTAAAATGAGGCATCACCTACATATTGTCACATGTTGCATGTATAATGCGACAAATAAATTCACGCCGTGCTGGATATAGCAAATTTTATTTCACATTCGCTCTTACAATCACACAATTTACAGATCCACAATTACTGCCATTGGCAGTATCAAAAATACTGTACTGCAATTAACTGGTGACTGACTCATCACTAGAGATCTGGAGAACTGTAACTAACTCGTAACTGACTGTGAATAGCATTCGCCGCTCCTTATGTAGCCTTGTTCCGGACAACGCAGAAAACAGCCACGTAATAGGCACCACTGTTGTCTGGCGCTGTGTTGCTAGCAACCGCTGTTTGCTCGCGTTGCGTAGCGACCAGTGTGCTGGGACTCGGCTCGCTTCGGCTGGCGGGGGGGGGGGCGTCATCCATATCGTAACGCGTCACAATATTATGGGCAGCTCATATAGCACTATGTGCAGGAAATATGAACATGAGATCCTCTGACCTAAAACTTTGTCACTGTCCAACTCTGGTAAGGCACAGAATGAAGATCTTCAGTTCTGCATGGTTAGAGCCAACAGTTATTCAATGGGCTTCAAACAAAAAGGTTCTGGCTATACCATTAAGGGCATGGCTTTTTAAAGGGTCACAGAGAGACTGGGGGTGCACAATGGAAACAGTAGTCGCCTGAGTGCTTGGGGTAACTGGATGATATTTCCGCATATGAGTATGATACAATATCAGTGAACTGTGACGTTATTTTGACAAATGATTTCATGTAATTTAAGACTTTCCTTTATATACAGGTTGCAACATAGATATAACTTCAAACATAAATATATATATATATATAAAACAATGTTTGCAAAATCAGTCTCTTTGTAGTTTCAATGGCTCTTGTATTGCCAAACAATGATGGTCATGTGAGTGAAACTGGCTAGTCTGCATGACAGTTGTATGGTGATGTTATTTACAGCTAAGGGTCTAGAGATCATAGAAACTGAAAGCCTGAAACCTCAGTGCTACAGTATGTCAGCAAAAGTGAAAGGGAAAGACCATCCAACTGATTTTGTGGCAAAAATACCAGAAGAATAGGATTAAAAAAAGACTTCATTGTTGAAAATTCTTTTATGGTGGGGGTTTGCATATAGTGCTATTGCTCATGTTCAGAAATGATGATTCCAATTCCATGATATCAAAGTGGAATGGCTAAAGAAATCTGATTAGGATTTACTACTCAAAACAGTTCCTATGAAGTGTGCGTGTGTCCGCATGCGTGTGTGTAAGTGGGGAATTTATTGTCATTACACAATTTTGGGTTAAAACAGCAATGAATTCTTCAGTGTCAACATGTTGCTTTAAGACAAATTATATAGTATGCCATAAATGATTGAGTGGACTTTTGTTTCAATGTATCATGTATCTTTTTTAAGTTCTGACAATACTGTCACATATTTAGGGGTGACTATAGACAGAATATGGATTGGATATGCAATTTATTGACAACTTGTATACACGACTCGGAACTACATTTTACAGATTATTGACACACACACAATAGTGTCCTCAATCTATTATACTCTCCCCTAACCATTTCGTGACTACAGATTTAACACCGTGGGGATTCTTCACCTTCCCATGCTCAGGTCCTCTGGTCACAGCCACCCATACAGAACTCTTGTCAACTGACAACTCAACTAACTGCACCCCAAGCTGGTGACCACTTCACACCAAGCTCCTAGTCTTCTCTTCACAGGCTGACTTCCAACTGACAACCGAACTCTCTCACCAACCAACCAGCTACTTCATGTCATTTCACTCTGCTGAACTGGATTGTTGAAGTCACAGTTACTTTATGACTGGCGGTATACCACCAATTGGTTTGTCTTGACATCAAGCCCCATGAAACCCATGACCAGAGGTTCTTTTTTTCAACTGAACCCTTGTGGTAATAGTCCTTATGTAACATCCTCTAGCTGGGTTTGTCTTTTATGAATATGTTTGGCCTTTTATCAAGTGTATGTATTGTATACATAGCACGTTACTGAAAATTTTTCCTTCTGCACTATACACAAGTCCTCTGTCAGTAGAGGCTTTGCAAGGCAGATCTTGCCCAACTTACTTATCTTATGCTATAATGGCAACTTCATCACTTGAATGGTCATTAGCCTGACCACTGCCAAGTTCAAGCCTCTTATATTTTCTATGCCTGGCTTCGCCTTGTCCTATATTAATAACAATGACTTCTGCTTGCTGCCTGCACAATTTTGTTATATAATCATACACATATGGAAGTTTGAAAGCAGTGTACAAATCATGGACTGGTGTGCACCTCAGAAAACTTCCAACTGTGAGGAGAACCTTGTTTGTAGGTGCTGCAATTTTAAGAAACAGATGTCTGTCACTAAATCCCAGGCGAGGCAAGCATATATCATTACTGATCTGATCAGTGGCTTATGGAGCATTAGTTTAATGTTGGTGCTTAAACACTCACTTTTGAATAGGGACTAGATTCTAAAAAATGTTCTGAAGACCTTGGCTTCTATCATTTCTATGTGCAGTCTCCATGCAACCCTCTTATCAAAAATTACACCCAGATATTTTACATGACTGATAAACAGGATATTTTGTCCATTCGATGCAAGATAAGCTTCAAGGAATCTAAGTTTATGAGAATAGTAGATAGCCTGTCTTATCTTCATTGATTTTTATGTTCCAGCACTGACATCATGTCAGGAAGATTTCGCTGCAGCTTTCTGAGAATATAACCTTCTTTACAGTCTGTCGCATATATACAGGTGTCATCAGCAAAGAGACCTAGATAGACACCAAGTGCTTTGGGCATATCATTTATATATATTACATATATATATGTTGTACAATGTGAGGCACTGACAAGAACCTTGGGGCACCCATGCTTCTATATCCCTTGGCACAGACATTTCACCTTCGACTAAAACTCTGAATTTTCTCTGAGAAAGAAAAGAGCTACAAAGTTTGATTAGATTGATCAAAAATTTTAATGTAGATAATTTATATAGCAAGCTAAAGTGCCATGTTGTATCAAAGGCCTTTTCAATATCCAAGGCTACTTCAGTCATAGAAATGTTACTGTTGAAATTTAAGATGATATGGCCCATAAGCCTCTTACATTCAAGTGTTGTGCTGCACCATTCACACAAACCAAACCTGCTTGCACTAAGTAAGCTTCTTTCTTCAATGTGCCTTTAGACTATTTTCAGAACAATTTTCTCAAATTGCTTGCCTGCTTAGACAAGAGGCTAATCAGACATAGATTGAGGGAATTTTGGGTCCTTACCAGGTTTCGGTAACATTATAACTTCTGCTTCCTGCTTTGGAAAATGGGACAACCATGAGTTGAGCTGGATCATCAACCACTTCTTTATAACCACTTTACTCTGATCGAATAGAAAACACCGATTCCAAAAGACGTGCTTACTGATCCATTGCTTAGAAATTGGTTGCATAACCTCATTCTTCTATTGTTGTGTGCATGTATGTTGCGGGTGTTACCAAGCAACGGCTGCTATTTACAGAGTCACTGCTTAGCAACTGGTCTAGAAACAATATGTTAATGTGGATGTATGAAGTATAATATTCTATGTAAAAAAAGAGGGTGTATGAGTGCTTGTTTGTGGAACACGGCATTAAACATCAGCCTTCATGCATCATTCAGTAACATGCAGAGTTGAAAAAGAATATGGAAGAAAGGAGGGGAAGTTAACAGTATGAAAGCCTATACAACAAATGATAAGATTTCTTGCTAAATTCTCAACAGGCATTACACTACGACAAGACAATTCTAAATCAGTACTTTCTAAAACTAACAAGCAATATGTAATATGGTGTCATTTCTAACATTTCGGAATCAAATTTTGTTTTAATCCAGCTGGAATATGCTCTCTCAGCACACATCATACTGGGGACACTTGAAAGGGAGTTACAAAAAATGCAATGAATATGGCTGAAGTTAACGACAAAGTCTGCATACTGCCAGAGGACATAGAAAACAGATTAAACAAAAACAAGACCTTTTCATCAGGTACAACAGCTTTCCCTGTACTGATTAAATTACATTATAAAATTATTTCTTAACATTCATAAAAAAGACATAAACTGGCTTCTTCAGTCTGTTTTAAGGAGTTCCAAACAACAACTCTGATACATTCCAATGGGAAAGAAAAGTATCTAAAATTATTTATTTATTATCTGTAAAACATCCATTAAAATCCCTTGCTTACATTATTCAAAGCATCACTTTCAGAGCACCATAGTGATTTTACCAAGGAATGCATATACACATGCATGAGAAGAACCTTCAATTCTACAGCTGGGCTATTTCATACAGATAGGCTCCGAGCAATTTGGTCTGCAACAAACAACATCCATGGCATTTCTCTCTCCTGCTTCACAAAAATGACATATAAAAAATAATTTATCATCCTGATACCAGTTCCCTGTAAATCAGTGATGTATTCCATTAAGAGTAAAATTAAAATTTACTTTGGCATCTGCTAAATCGTTAAAATAACTACTAGGCGCACCTTACAAAGTGAATTTGTCATCATCACTGTTGTTGCTGTTGTCATAGTCATCGCCACATCAATCAATCAATGCAAATATAAAACAAAAGAATGTCCTTCAGGAGAATAGCTCTGCATGAGAAGCATAGAAAACTGTAGGTGGTAAGCAAATTTTTTACATGTTAGCAGCCATAACCTCTTAAAACCTAGCAAAAACCAGAGTACCAGAATCAGAAACAAAACTTTTACATCTGATTTCATGCAGGTGCAGACTGTTAACACTAAACAGTTTAAGAGGGACCAGATTCACTATGTTATAGTGAATCTGGTCCCTTGTGCCATCTGGTATCTATATGCCTCAAGACATTCTCATTAGCACAAAGGTTTGAAATTGACTTAACACTTGGGAATTACATGGCTAGCAGATGAGTACTAGGGGTATATTATGGCATTCACTGAGACATCACTACCTCAGAGCTATCTACACCTTGAATGAGTGTCAAATGACATGATCATGTGATTAGAACTTGATCCCTTCCACCTAGATGTGACACTTCTAGAATCAACCTTTAAAGTAACTCACAACAGGAAAGCATAATGGAAGTCTGTATATAGAGGTTTACATAATTCCACAATCCCAATACAACAGCAGCTATAGGCTGGCTCAAAATAAAGGGGTATTTTAGCACTGTGATATAGCAGTGATATACCTACAAATGGTGTTGCAAATAAAGGTTAAGAAGCAATTTTATTACCCCTTCAATGTAGTTTCGAATATCAATCTTCTCATTCTGGGAATGAGCACCATCATCCCCAGCACCTACAGGCAATAGGATTACACTCTTTCCAGTCATTTCCTGCAACAGGGAAATTAATGTCACTTACAAATTATACTTTTAACAATTCTGTATTATTGAGAAAGACACAATAGGAGGCTTGACTGATTACCACCTCCCTACCTGTAGAGTAAGAGTGACAGGAATTGAACCACCTTCTCTGGTTAGGTCTGGCTCTACTCCATACACATGCTTTGTTGCTTTGCGGCCTGCCACATAGTTTGGACCATCAGGATCTGAGAGCCAAGCACGACCTCCATGATACATATATGCCTAGATGAGTAACAAGCAATCATATCAGTATTACAATATGTAATCATCCCACACACAGACACATGTGCATGCTAACATATCCATGTATACATAAACTATGACAACAATATTAACAATAAAGCCACATTTAAACATCAAGAAGAGAGAGACCTGGCTATATTACTCTGCGGAAACTGTCACATTTCTTGAAGCACATGACATACTACTGCCTAAAATTTCTGCTCATCTTATGGTTCAGGCCACACCATAGCTCAAGCAGTTAGACACTGGCTTCCCACCAAGGCAGTCCGGGTTTGATCCCAGGGTCTGGTCAAGTGGGATTTGTGGTGGACAAAGTGGCACTGGGGCGGGTTTTCTCTGAGTACTTCAGTTTACACTGTCAATCTTCATTCCACCAAATTCTCCATCATCATAATCAGCGGGGGCAGGCTACATTAGGCCAATCAGTAGCCGCCGTGCCAAGTGGACCCAGTTGGACTCCACCCCCCACTAAGGAAATTTAATTAATCTTATGGTTCAAAGGCACAGAATTCTCACCACTCTTTATATAATGCACTTGCTTTGGTTGAGATATGTCGTGTTATTAGCCTTTCAGTGATCTTTAATCCTTAAGCCAAGCTAACAGCCATCAGTACATTAACATGAGGTAACTCACATACCTTCATTTTGTTAGTACTGCCTCTCGCTTTCCACTGCTTGTTCAAATAGGCCACAACTACTTCCTCCACTTTCTCTGGTGTCTGATTTGGAACAATACGTATTGAAAATTTTCCAATAACCTTTCTTGGTATCACAGTTTTACAGCCTGGTTCACTAAATGCTCCCTCTATACCATGCACTGATAATGACGGGAATCGCCAACGATGCTGAAGTAACTTCACCTTAGGGCACAAACATTTCAATTGTCATTATGAATTTTCATACCTGCAGTGATAACTCAAAATACTTACTTAACAACTGAAGACTAAACCTATAACTGTGTGCAATGATGCTTTAGATCACAAAACAGTTACTTCAGTTTCCTCACACTACCATATCAAGTAAATAACATTTGGGTAACATATTCAGAACAAATCTGGTTATTCTTACCTACTACATTCACATTTAACTTTATCCAGGATAATATTTTCCTACTTCACTATTTAAAAAACCATCAGTTGTCATAAATTTATACAAAGCGAAAATTCTCTAGAAGCATCACTGTTCTTTCCATTATTGACATAGCTATTCAGTGTATTTAGACTGGAGTTGTGAGAGCTCACACTGTGCATCATTTTAGGGTCAAAATTTGACATAAAACAGTAGTCAAGCTGCTGCAACTATCTATGCATGAAAGTTCATGGTGGTTATTGTTAAGTTAAAGAAGAAATATATAACAATCATGTCACAGGTACTTCTGTTTTGAGAATCGAGACAAATTATTAGATAAGAAGAAAAATTACGTTAAACTGATTAATGTGTGATAAATTAATGCAAAATGTAATAAAACAAATTGTACCAGTTCTAACATGTTAAGAAGTTCACACACAACATATAATTCTAACATGTTTGCTCTCTCCTTTTACCATTTAAAAACCATATACGACTTATGGGAAAAGGGTACTTGGCATAAAATGCTGCCAGGAACATTTCTGATAAATATGTTGCGAGTTATGTTCAAGATTACCAAAGAAACACATACATTCTCATATACAGTGCCAGTTATTCCTTGATATTCTCTGTTTGGACTGTGTCAAAAAACTGTAATAACACTCGGTATTAAATTTCATTAAATCTGTATAATAGTTCTCACATTGTTACATGCAAGCAAATAGGATGAAGATAGTAAGTGCATTTTCATAACTTCCACTATGAATGCACCAAAAACAAATGTTACTAATTTTAAAGTGACATTGTGATGCACAGACCTACTGCTAGGCAACAACTAAGTAAACACATCCCACAGCAATGAATATGCAACAACAGTGGACATCTATTGTTAGGAAATGGATGTTTCGGCGTGGTCCAACCCAAAGCTATATAATGAGAAGTCACTGATAACTGACAGTTCAGTTGAAGTAGTGTGGTCAGAAGTTGAGAATGTACAGCTGAAGATAGTCATTCGTGAAATGGTATAACAAGTTGCATATAGGTCCGATAAATTTGATCACAAAATCCAAAACCCAGTTTATAAGTCACACAAACCCCTAATATGTGACAATATACGAGGGGCGTTCAAGTTCTAAGGTCTCCGATTTTTTTCTCGGGACTGGGAGCAGATAGACACATGCGGTTTAGTTTAAAATACGTGTGCACTCTTTGTGAATGCGTGCCAGAGATGGCAGCACTGTAAGGCACACAGAACTCTAGTGGTGGTTGCGAGAACGAGGAGTGTTTTTGATACCTAAAATGGTGACATTTTCGTTACAAGAACAGCGAGTAACCATTCGTTTTCTCCACTTGCATGGTGCGACACCCATTGAAATTCATCGCCAGTTGAGTGAGACGTGTGGTGATGGTGTCATGAATGTGAAAAATGTGCGTTCTTGGGTGCGACAGTTCAAAGAAGGCCGAGCATCGTGTGACAACAAACCAAAACAATCTCGGTCTTGCACCAGCCGGTCTGACATGGTCGAGCGAGTTGAGAAAGTTGTTTTTGAGGATCGTCGACTGAGTGTGGAAAACATCACCTCCAAAGTTGGCATTTCCGTGGGATCTGTGCACACAATCCTGCATGAAGACCTGCAAATGTGGAAAGTGTCCTCCAGGTGGGTGCCACAAATGCTGGCGGATGAACACAAGGCTGCATGTGTCCTCTTTCATCAGGACAATGCACTAGTGCATCGGGTGTACGCAACACAGCAGTTTCTTCATGAAAACGACCTTGAAGTGGTTTCTTATGCTCCCTACTCACCTGACCTGGCTCCTAGCGATTTTTGGCTTTTCCCAACGATGAAAGACACTCTCCGTGGTCGCACATTCACCAGTCATGCCGCTACTGCACCAGCAATTTTCCAGTGGTCAAAACAGACTCCTACAGATGCGTTCACAGCGTCCATGGAATCATGGCGTCGACATTGTGAAAAAGTGTATGACTGCAGGGAGATTACGTTGAAAAGTGACAGAAGTTTCAAATTTTTTGTATGATTATTGTGTGAGGAAAAAACTGGAGACCTTAGAACCTGAACGCACAATGTATAATGCAGAATGAACCATTAACAGATTCGACAATTTTAAATATATTTTTTGTTCACTTGTTTGTGTGTTCTTTGCATAAAATAAAATCGGTGGTAGGGGGGTGGGGGTGTCATATGGTAGTGTAGTTGGTTGAGACACTATGCTACAAGCTGGAAGGCTGCAGTTTCAATTCCTGATGAGGTCACTGGATTTTTCAAGTGACCTAATCCTTCCAGTCCAACTACAACCCTGGGGTCGACTCAGCCTATAACAAAAATGAGTACCAGGAATCTTTCTGGGGCTAAAGGGCATCCAGCACATAGGGCTGGTAACCTCACCACCATCTATGAGCCGAATGTCTATAAAATGTGGGAGCCTCAACATCTCACACCCTGTGGGCCTCCACAGCCTGTTACCTTTCTACCTTACAACACAATGGCAAATTGCCCATGTTTCATCTTCGAAGTTACTCTACAAATTTTGATGAAATTTGTTACTGGAACTCTAAACTCAGAGAATTCAATTCTGGCAGCTCAGGCAGGCAGACGCTTGCTTCTTCACTGCAGAGCCTTGGGTTCAATCTCAGCTGATTTTAAGTGAGATATGTGGTGGATAAAGTGGCTCTGGAGCAGATTTTTCTCCAAGTTTCCTTGGATTTTCCCTGCTACACATCATTCTACCATTAATGCATACCCATCTACCACCATCACCTGAGATGGATGATAGCTCTGATCCTACACTTGGCTGGTTATGATGTAAGTTTCTTTATCAGTTCAATACAACACCTACTTCACATGGAGTTCAAAAAGAATGTTTTATCATTTTTATAAAAGAAGCTCAGCACAAAAGAACAGGTACGTATATAAAATATAATTCCATTAAGATACATAAATTTTATCTTAAATATTTTCAATGTGGTGAATACTACTGAAATATGACAAATTATTTTAACCGCATGCTGTGTTGTCAGTAACATCAATGGAGTACATCATTCTGCTTCTGTTAAGATCAGATTCTATGAAGTCATCTTGTGTTCATGTAAATACAATACACCACAAGCAATAAACAGATTAATCAACAGTTACGGATATAATTTCATGCATCATCATGCTATACCTTATCTTCTTTGTGCAACAGCTGCTGAGTTCCAATGCTTGCTTTGTATTCTGTCACATCAAACTCTATGCTGTCATATAATGCAGTTTCCTTTGGTGTGACTTCTGTGACATCATCGTGTAGTCCAGTCACAAGAATCTTGCCATCCTTGTCCACCAAGGTGTTAAGGAGATAAACTACGTCTGTCACTGCCTCAGGCCTATGTATACAAAATTAAAGACATCTAACTCAATCTACACAGCAGTGTTCTAATTGAGAACTGATAGATTCTCTGTTGATTGACTCTCTCTATTAACATAAATAAACCAAATCTGGAAGAAATGTGGCTAACAAAGATTAATATTTATTGTAACAGATTTAATATCCTCCTGTAGCTGCACCCAGCCCAAACTAAATGACGACACTTAATTAAAACTGTCCCCCTTTAATTTTCCCATAGCGCACTTTGGGACGATGACAGTTAAAGAGAACTTACACATTCCCACCAAAGGATCCACTGTGAAGATCTTTGCTGGCACATCCAACTTCAACTCCAAAATAGCAAACACCACGTAATCCATATGTGAGGCATGGCTTCTTAGTACCCAACCAGTAATTATCTGAGATGCAAACATAATCTACATCACTTAGGAATGTTTTTTGCTTCTTGGCAAGTAGTTCATCCAGTCCTTCACTGCCAGACTCTTCCATTCCTTCAAATACAAACTGGTAGAGGAAAGAAAAACAAATAGTTCTGTAATTTTATCCTCTGCATAGAAACTGTTAAAAGTTAAACCATACTGTATGGCTATTGATAATTAAGCACACAATCAATGTTTTGTTTTACTATACAGAGTGTACACATGGAATGTATACCCATGTACTGTTAGCACTGTTCATGTACTGAAAGGTGTAAGAATAAAAAGTAAACTCATCTAAGTAGATTATATGAGAAAGTCTATAATCTGTGCCATTTGAGTTTCCAAATCTTTCCACCTAAAGTGCTACACCTACAGTTGCAAAAATGGCATATCAAGGGGGGGAAACAAACACATGCTATGGTTTCTTAAGTATAGATATGCTGTTAAAGTGCAAAGGAGATGTTGTACAATGTTCTGAAGGGAAACACAAGTAAAAATGTTGATTTACAAGTGATATAAATTGTTTATTCAGACTGGCTGCATGTGTAAAAGAAAAAGCCCTGGGAGATGATCAGTCACTGAAGCTCAGAGATGTGTGTGCAGCTTTTGTTTGCAGTCCACACAAATCAACCAGGCACGCTCAACAACAAACTCATCACAAACAACAGTGCACAAAATACTGCAGACACTTCTGAAAATTTTAAAGTTATAAGTACCAACTGTTGCAACATGTAACCATCCAAGACACTGATACACATTCTGCTGTCACTTGCTTTCAGGACTTGAGGATAACAAACTTTCAGCAACCAAAATTATCTTCAATGAAGCCACATTCCATTTACTGGAAAATTTTAATCAATATAACCTGATAACTGGTGGGGGGGGGGCAATAAGTCTCATGAACTAAACATATGATTCAGTCCAAAATTGAACATGGTTTGTACTTTGTCCAAACAAAAAGTGTTTGGGCCCATTTTTCTTTGCTGAAGGTACTGTGCCTCACATAATGTACCTGGACATGTTGGAGGAATTCTTCATGTCTACTTTAGAAAACTGGGGTCCTCATGGCATGCTGTTGCAACAGGACAGAGTGCCTCCACATTTCCACAAGGAAATGATGGACTTCTTAAATCATGATTTTTCAAAGAGATGGACTGACAGGGGTGGGCCTATCACTTAGGGTCCTTTCGCACCGAATGAGTCCAGTCCAGTCACGTCANTGACTGGCTCAGACGGGCCCGGTGCGAAATCAGCCTTAGCTGTCTTGTTGATTCTTCACATTCTGTAGATCTACTTGATGAGTACTATGGCATTTTTCCTTTTCTTCTCATTTTGAACTGTTCTTCACTTCTTCAATGTTCTCTGTACACCTTCACTGTCACAGTTCACTTTTATCTCTTAGTCTATTTGATTTCTCCAATAATGATTCATTTGCATGTCTCCTACAGTGTTATCCAGTTCTTTCATGCAGACCAGCCACTTTTACACCTCTTAAGACTTTTACACACTGCATTAAACTCATAAAAGATTGTATGTGTGCTTCAAGGTACAAATTGTTGTTGTTTAGCAATCCTGAAACAGCTGAACATTCAACAGTACTATCAAGGTAAAGCTGTCCTTGTGCTTAATTAATAATGCAACATGCCATGAAGATGTATGGGAGAGTAGAGGAATAGCTCCAAAATTCTTGATGTTGGCACTAGATAAATGGTGAGTGGTCAGCTTGAAGCCTATAACACTTTAATCCCTGGGAATGAGCCCACCCCTACCCATTGGATAGGAGGTTGAGTGGGCCCCATAGCTGGTCTGGACACTGCAGAGAAAGGAAAAATCTCGTGCCCCTACTGGGATGCAAACCACAGCTGTCCAGTCTGTAGCCCATTGCTATACTGACTGAACTATCTTGGCTTCACAGAAAGATACCTAAGTGTTTCATATATACAGGTACAAGTTAGCCATACCAATTCTGAATTTAATTTATACACAATTTTCTTTCCTTTGTGGTATTTCCATGTCAACTCGTAATTTCCACTGTGAAAACTGTTAACCTAAATGGCCAAATTAATATTAGAAGATTTTATTTCCACATCTGTTAAGAAATACTAAAGTTGTTCAGAGAGCAAATGGTTGACATATTAATGTTCATCATCATATGTGAAAGGTTAACATTCACTACAACCAGTGTTGGAGTAGTAACATGAACAGAGTAACATACATTGATCTGTTTAATATGAATATTGGTGTCTTGTGTGCAGTCAATACAAGTTCATACATCACTGTATTCTGGGATGTGACACTATAGGTACATAGGTACCAATGTTTTGGAGGAACCTATCTACCTACAGCATCACATCACAGAATACAGTAATGTAGGTTCCTCCAAAACATTGGTACCTATCTACCATACTAAAGCACAATAGATCACTGTTGGTTGCAGTGCAAGGGCAAGGCCCACCCCTTCTACATACATACATACATACATACATTCATACATTCATTCATTCATTCATTCATTCATTCATTACCATACTACATGATGTCATATTCCAGACGACATTAATCTTCAGTCACCAGCATGAGAACCTCAATATCAAGAAGCAGATATTTCAACAAACTGTTTTTACAAATAATAATTTCTATATTATATCTAAAACACTAAGACTGCAATAATTTTAATAAGGTAGAAAAAACTGTACAGATATTTCCAGCTTTTAAATATTCATACACCCACATGTGCAATATCTAATATCAAACAACAACTAACATACATTACAACTACCACAAGGGCATTTGGAGTGAAAATACCTTAACATTAACAGGTATCTCATGATCAGTGGCCTTGAATGCTTCAAGGGCATGAATCCAACCAATAACAGGACCTTTGTCATCAGTTGTGCCTCGACCAAACAGCTTTCCATCTCTCTCAGTCATCTCGAAAGGTTCAGAATCCCAACCATCACTTTTTAATGCTGGTTGGACATCTAGGTGTCCATACACCAAAACTGTCTTCTTCTTTGGATCCTTTCCCAGTGTTCCCAGAAGAGCAGGTGGCAGTGGCAGCTGTCCCCCATCCAGCAAAGTCTACATATATACCACATATTAGTCTACAAGCTACAATATAAGTCAAACAAGCATGAAATTTGTTACTCATAATGCAGCCACAAAGTGCAGCATAATCATGTTTAGGATGCAAGTAATGAGAATCAAGAGCAATGTTACCTTTTTATTCCTTCAAGTACTAAATTAACAAATTTAAATCAACTCCCAGAATAAATATTTATTTATTTACTTTTATTATCATTCATTGATCCATTCGGGTATATAACCATTGAATATAGAAACTGTCAGTAGATTACAGTGTTATATTATATAAGCTTGTCTTAACATAAGATAAATAAAAATTAAAATACCGTAAGTCCAAAAAGTATCCGACTTTATTTTTTTCGGCTGTAAGTAATGGCCAAAGGGGTGGGGAAACTGAGCATAGTGGTAGAAGGGACTTTCATGTGCATGCGTGATTTTTTGCTGACTCGCAACACCGCCGGATGCGTCTGTGGGTGCCAGATAGCGAAGTGGTGTAACATGTAAATTTGATTTGTTTCATTCTGGTCTGTCACACTAACAATTACAAATATAAATCACTCCGTCCAATGTGACCTGTAAGTTTAATACTACATGAAAAACTTAATACCTTTACATGTTTTGGTCTCTGCGGACCATCTTCAGAGGGCAAACATCACTACAAATAGGAAACCACCTTCACATAATTTGTTTAGACGTAAAGTACGTACACTTATATGTTACAATGCATAGTACACAAAATAGAACATTTCACAAACACAGCAGTTTCCTGAAATGTAAAGTTTTTAAAAATTATTTAAAATTTCTTGATGCTAATTAAAATTTTTTTGCATTGTCAATAATTAAAATTCATAAACCACGCAGGCTTGTGTTCGTCCTCCCATCGTCCCTCTTGTATGGGGCAGATATTGTGCCACCTGTCTATCTTGATGTGGAGGTTCTTTATATCTTCCAGGGTTTGCTCATGGCTGCTGTGCTGTTTTCACTGCCATGAGCACACCCTGGAAGATATAAAGAACCTCCACATCAAGATAGACAGGTGGCACAATATCTGCCCCATACAAGAGGGACGATGGGAGGACGAACACAAGCCTGCATGGTTTATGAAT